ATCTCTGTAATGCCAGTCCTCTGTGCCATTATGCTTTAGAGGTCACCTATGAAATGATGATAGATTTTTAACTGGTGAGTTACATCCATTTACCTTTACTGTGACTGCAAATACATTTAGAATTATTTCTACCACATTATGTTCTATTTCGTAGTTACATAGCATTTCTATTCTTTCCTTCTTCTCCTTTCATTTACTACAAAAAGCAGGTTGCATTAGAACAATATTCTCTCATTCATAGAATTTTAAATTGACAATACTCTGCCAGTAATGTCTTTTAAATAATTGAGAATATTCTAGTCTCTGTGTTTCCTATAGACTTATATTTCTAGTCTAAGTGATCATTGGTAGGAAACGTCTCTTTCCTTTTACGTTTACTCAGTATTTTCTCTTTGTTTTCTGACACAGTCTCTCTAAATTTGTGTTTTGCCTTTATTTACCTGGTGCTCTTTAAATAGTCATGTCTTTTTGCCTCTTCTGGAAATTTATGAATCATGTTTTAATATAGCCCCTTTATTGTTCTCTTTATGTCTGGGACTGCCTTTAGAGCTACACGAGGTTTCTTTTTATTCTCTGTGTTTCTTTCATTGTTTTACATTTCTTTCTGGGCTACATTCTTGGATTTTTTTCTCCTTAATTCTCCTATTTCACTCTTCAGCTGTGTCTAACCTGCTAGTTAACTCACCAGTCAACTTTTCCTCACAATTGGATTTTTTTAACTTTTATATTTTCAAATTTTAAAATCTTTTTGATATTTTAAATGTCACTTAAAAATAAGATTTTGGTTATTGGTTACACAGTTCTTTTTTTTTCTAGTACATTTTAGATACATGTAATGATAACATTGGTCCTAAGAAATCTGAACCTGTAAACGACATACCTTGCTGCTGCTTCTTTTCTCGCTTCCCTCCCCTCCCCTGTGCATATGCCCTTGTGCAAGTGTCAACTTTGGCATTTACTAGATTTTTGACGTGGGGCAAGTTACTTAACCACACTGAAACCACATTTTCTTCATCATGAGAAATTTTGTAGTATCTCATAATAACTTAACAGCTGTGTTGTGAGGATGGAATGCACTAGGATAGTACTCCCAAAGCATTCAGAAGGGTGCTTGGCATGTGGTCACTGCTGTCTGCTGTCACCATCAACATCATCATTTATAGGAGGCTTGTTTTTCTGTTTCTTATTCTGAGTTTTAATTACTTCTGTTACAGCTTTAATCATCTTAAAGCTTTTCTCAGCAGTCGTTTTTTAAGTCCCATTCTGGTTACTTGTTCTTTAATCCTCTCATATCTTGGGCTAATGGACTATGACTCACACAAAAATTATTACTTTCTTATTCCATGATTTTCTGTCATGAACTTAGCTCAACAAAGCTGCTTATTTTGTGAGAAGCCCCTTAAATGTATCTATTCCCCACATGGTTTTGCATTTATAACAGGAGGACCAGGAGGTTTTCTAAGCAATGATCGAATTTTCTGCTTATGTATTTTAAAACGTGATTTTTGAAATATAAGATAAATTCAAGCTCTAAAACCTAACTCAAGATGTGGATTTAGGATGTCTAAGGTAATTTCATGTTTTTCCCCTCAGGTTATTAGGCAGAAACAGACTAGATTTGCTAGTGTCTTCTGTGCATGTGGGCAGAATTTTTCTGTTGGTCTGGGTTCTAACATTCCTCTTCACCCTACAGGAGGCCTTGTGTCTACAGAACCTCTAACCCAAGCCTCCGGCTAGCAAGGATGAGCTCAAGCCATAGTTTCCGTTTCCTCTGTTTGCCTAGCATGATGTGATTTTGTTCCAGAAACATTTCTTGCAGATTTTATAGATGTTTGCTTTGGGGCATGTTAGCGCTCCATCTTGCAAAATGCCTAGTAGAATTCTTCCTTCTCATTCTATCTTTCCTATCTCATTCTACTGTCTATCTAGCTATCTTTCTTCTTTATAAGTCTCCTTTTTTCTCAGTATTTATTTTTTGTTTTTTCTTATTCTTCTTCCACTTCATAGTAGTTTCTTTCTCCTCTGATAGTACATTTAGGCCCCACATGAACTAACAATCTGAAAAGATAAATAGAATTATTAGTTGGCTTTCTACCATTACTGAGACACCAAAGCACTTATACAAGAGCAATTCATATTGAGTTGATGCTGTAAAATTTCATGTTAAACTCAGACTTTGATCCTGTAGAAATATTTCCTAGAGTTTTTGTTCTGCTCTCTCCACTGAATTTGTTAGCTTTAATCATTCTTTCTGATAGCTGTTGATGTGTTAGTCATACTTTCTCATTGCATCCCAACTCTGATGAATAGTGCTTTGAGCAAGCATGCCCAAACTGGCTGACGATGAAATTGTAAGACCAGTAAGCCAAGGGCCAGAGGTGCAGCTCAGTGGGAGAGCACTTGTACAGCATGCACAAGGTCTTGGGATCGATTCCCAGCACCAGGAAAAAAGAGAACATCAGGCTAAATAGTCTCCCTGCTGCTATCCAAGGCCTTTCCTCTGATTCCCCACTCACCAAGCAATCCTCTCACCCTCTTAGAGCCTTCATGTAGAAATGCCAACCTGCAGGTATAAGTATCAGGATATACAACATCAACTTGTTTCTAAAAATTAGTAAATTAGAGCTAAGTATTTTTTTAAATCACAAAACAGAACACATTAAACATTACCTTTATATCATAGTGAATTATATAATTCATAGCATTTAATGTTTAACAGTTTCTGCAAGTACAAGTGATGTTAAGTACATTCCTGTTCAACCATCACCACTATCCATCTTCAGAACTTTATTTTTAACTTTTCTCCTCCTTTGCTAGTGTTGGATATTGAATTCAGAGCATTTTTTTGCACACGCTTGGCAGGCTTTTTACCACTGAGCCACACCCTCAGCCCTTCTGAACATTTTCATTGTTCCAAAATGGAAATCTGTTCTCATTCATTGCTAACTCTTTTTCTTCTTTCTGTCAGTCCTTGGTGCTTCCTCTACCTTCCTTCTCTCTGAATGTGATAACTCTAGGAACCTTAAATAAGTGGAATCACATAATATTTCTCTTTTTCCTTCACTCAGCATGATGCCCTCAAGATCTATTTATCTTGTGAATACATCTGAATTTCACTTAGACTTTTTGAGGAATTCCTTTTTAAGGAAGATGAATATATGAATATATGAATACATGAACTATACACACACACACACACACACACACACACACATATATATTATACATATAGGAAGATAATTTTGTATTAGCCACAAAGCTGTGAACTGTTTACCTGCATAGACCCTGAGATCATCGCTGGCATCATTTGCCCTTTGAATGCCACCCCTTCATGTTGCCTCTGTCCCAGCTCTGTCACCTTCAAGCTTTGCTTATTCTTTTAGCTGAGGAAAAACTCTGCAAACACATCACCTTCACATGAGAAGGAAACTTTTACTTTGAAATATGTAAGGTGCTTGACATATTAGATGAAATTTTGAGCTATTGACCTTCCCAAGTAGAGGAGCTGATTAATATATAAAGAAAATACTGAATTTGGAGGGCTCATCTTATCTCTAAACCATCTCTATTCGTCACCTCTTGGATGTTGTGAAATGGAGCTGGCTTAATTTTGGGCACCAGCATGCAGCATAGTGGATTTTTCTGTTTGGTTAGTTGTGGGGCTGTTTTGTTTTGTTTTGTTTTGTTTTTGTCAGTATTGAGGATCAAAATCAGGGGATGTTGTACCACTGAACTACATAACCAGCCTTTTTTATTTAATTATTTTTTATTTTGTGTCACGTTGTCACTAAGTTGTCCATGATGGCTTCCAGTTAGATTCTCCTGCTTCAGCTTCTTGAGTAGATGGAATTACAGGTTTGTGCTCCTGGCTCAGGCATAGTTTCCTATAACTGGTCCTCTTCTCAACCTCAGTCAGCTTCCTCCCACTTATCCCTGCACACCTCTGATGGGCTTTGCTCTGTGTCACTCAGTGACTTCCATTGACTACACGATAAACTCTGATGTTTAGGATTCTATATAATAGACTCCTGGGTCCATCCAACTCAGACTCTTCACTGTTCTAGGTTTCTGCTCTACGTTTTCCTCCTTTCTCTTATATAATGGTTTTTCCTTTAATGGCAATACCTTCCCCAGAGTCTCTATGAAAATCATGGCCCTTAAATACAGCTCACCCTCAAGTATTCATCTTATTCTAAAAACCCTTTCATATTCTCCAAGCTCCATTTGATCATTTGCTTTATTGATCCTTCAAAATGCAGTTACTTCTCTCTTTCGGAATCTACCAGATTATCCTTTGAGATAAAATTATTCACATATTGTCTTAGTGCTCAAACATTTTAAGAAGTGAATTGCTTGAAGAAAGAGACTGTCTTCTCTCACAATACCTAGCCTTGAAGATTCTTTTTTTTTTTTTTTTTGGTTTCAGGAATCAAACTCACAACCTCATGCTTACCAGGCAAGCTCGGCTAACTCCCCAGCCCTTGAAGTTTCTTTATATTTGTCCTATCATTTGCTTGTTTGCTTGGAGTAAGCCTGTAGCATTGCAACCTTAAACCAATCATGAAAATCACATCTCTAGACATGAGCCTTCTGGGGTCTCCCAGGCCCTTGAAGTGTAGGAAACAAGTCCAACTAGAGAAATGGTGCCCACTACTGATTGTTTATCCAAACTGGAACCTGGATGACAGCTTGATTTGCCTCATAGTGAGTTTTTGTTGATTGCAATGTTGAGAAGAAATGTAAATGCAAAGGAACTTAAATTGATATGAAAAAGAAAGTGATTTGGAAACAAAAAGAGGAATCTAAAACTTCAAAGATCCATTCTTCCTGGCTTAACAGGGGATGAGGCAAAATCAGGTAATATAGATAATTTCTGTAACTGTGAAACATCTACAGTGCTTAAGATTAGCAATTAAACTTCTGTCAAAAGCAGTAGATTTTCTAAGAGAGTTAGAAAAAATAGACATAATCTTTAATTATTGCCTTTCACCACAGTAACTGGACCAACGCTTAACAAAATATATGATATTGACTGCTGGGTTGTTTGCCTATATTAAACTACTTTTAATTATAAAATAGTATTTAAATTGTATTTACATTTCCAGGGAAAAAGTAATTTAATGGTGGGCTTTGGTTCTCAAGGGAAAATTGCTCTCCTCAGGTTTTAGAAAGGTGAATGCTAAATTGATTCTAGACTGAAATGACACATGTTTAGGAGGAATAGAAAAGCACATCAGAGATGGAAGCAAATGTTGAAGAGTGAATGATAAGCAGATTGAAAATTTAAAATTTTTCTATTTATTTTACGATTGTGATACAGAATCAATAATCACTATTATTTTAAGATTTTTAACAAATGGGGAAATCCAAAGGACTGAGGAAAAGGAAAAAAGGATTATATATATTCTTTTTTTAAAACTTTTTGTTCTTCTAAGAAGTGGCCTTGCTGTGTTGGCCAGGTTGAGTTCAGGTGGTCCTGCCCCTCAGCATTCCAAATAGCTGGAACTACAAGTACAGACCACTGTCTACAGTTTATAACTCATTTCTTTTTAAAAAGAACAATGGTATACCTTAATAATTAAAGACAGTAGTTTACTTAGATACAAGGGTGAGATTAAGATTGTAGAGCTCTCCAAAATATCTGGATGTGGTATGCCCGGAGGAAAGGAGCAGTGTGGCTTTATGAAACTCAGTATGTGTCAGGAAATTTTAATTTCTTTTCATAACAGAATGACAGGACTTGTAGCTTGGAGGTAAGCAATAGAGGCCATTTATCTGTCTTTTACTCCCACTCTTCAATTCTACCACACATGTGATACCCTGCAGTAGCTAGAAAAATACGATGAGCACAGAATTTCTAACTGCAAGGCCTGGAAAGTTCATTTTTAAATACGGCAATATATTTTTGTAGAGTAATTTTTAAAGGTACTCTAGATTTTTAAAAGGAACACCAATGTGTGTGTGTGTATATATATATATATATATATATATATATATACATATGCACACACATCCAATGTTACGATGTGCCAAGCATTGTGCATGCTGCCGAGAATATAAAATGATTAAAATACTTACTATTCTTGGCAGTAAAGAATAAGAATCAAGGGAAGAGCAATGTGGTTTTTCTATAACTACTCCAGTGGAATCACCACCTGCAATAGTTAAGAGACTTGGGAAGAACAAAATCAACAGAAAATATGAGTATGTATTTGAGGGGACTTACTAGGATTTACAAGACCAGAAGCAAGAGAGTCCACAGTGGCTTCCACGGAATCAGTGGTGGGAGAATCCACAATGGGCATCCACGTGCTGGAGAGCTGCTCGGCCCATAAAGAAGCATCCCTCAAAGTAAGATGGATGAAACATGAAACACCAGTCTAAGGTCTGATAACTAACTCACTGGGCAGTCATCAGCAGGGAGATTTTGCCTTGAGAGGTTAAAGAAACTGGAAACCTGGAAACAAGATGGCAGCAAAAGATGTGCCCTTTTCAGAAGACTGAAGTTCTTGAAAACCAGCAAACTTCACGTTTTTCTTCCTTTTTAAAATTCTCTCCAGGCTCCAGGCCTTTTGGTTCATGTCACTCAGAATGAGGGTGAGTCTTCCTCCTTGATTTGTTAGTCAACACTTTAATCTTCTAGAGACACCCCTGAACTGTGCTTTACTGATCATTTGGGTATTTCTTATTCCAGTCAAATTGATGTACCACAATTACAAGTCCCAACACTGAAGATGTTTAGCAGCTGGTTTGAAGGTTCACCTGTTGGATCCATTTTTCTGAATCAATCGCTGTCAGTCCAGGGTGTATATCACCATGAGACATTTTAAAATAGAGCTTTCTAGTCCCACTCCCAGATATTCTTATTGAGTTTGTCTGAGATGGGGCCTCAAACTGCATTTTGAGGATACTTTCCGGGTGAAACTAATGTGCACCAGTGTTGAGAACCACATGGAAGTGTCCTACACAAATCCATTGGCACCCCACCAGCCTCATTATGTTGAGAGTTCATAAGGGAATTGTTCTGAAAAGAATTCTTGTTTAACACATGTATACTGAGCCCCTCACAGGTGACAGGAGGAGTTTTAGGTGCTTCAGGTACACCAGTGAATACAATGGGAATTCCTTGTACCATTAAGAACCTTATACTCTAGGCATTAAGCATTAATTAAGTAATGTCCCAAGCAGAGAAGGGGTGGGAGAGGGTTATGAGGTGCAAGACAGGCCAGGGAGGAATCTGGCTTAGAATTAAGAAGAAAGCTTTCCAAAGGAAGGAAACTTTGAGTTGGGACTTAAATCATAGGCAGGCATTAAGTGAGACCCTTCAGGGAAGGTAAACAGCCAAAGGTCTTGAGATGGGATGGGATGTTGACCTAGAGTCCACATTACCTCCATGATACTGTTGCATCATCAGGAAAAGTTCCTTTCAGTGACTGAAGCCCAGAGCCAGAGCACACGGCTAGAGGAACAGGGTGGATCTCAATCTCACTCATCCCCTCAGCGGGCACTCATTCAGTGACCCCTGGAGCAGCCCTCTGCATGGGATTGTGCCTTTGCAAATAGTGCCCTGAGCTTCAGAGAAGCCAGAGTGATGTTCTGGAAGGCAGAGAGCTAAGTGATCTGGTCTGTCCACTGAGGCTGTGCTGAAGGTCTCGGGCTTCATTCTGAAGTCAGAGAAGAACCCAGCAATCTCCCAGAATGGCATCATGGCCATCAAGGTGAGATCACTATGAAGATAAGATTGTGGCCAGACTAGGACTGGTGCTGAGGAGCCAGAAGGAGGTAGCCAGATTGGAATGATTTAGGAAAATCAATTTATTGGATTTGAATGGGTGATTGGATGTGGAAATGAAGGAAAATCATCAAATGATTTTCCCAGGTTACTGGCTTGTGCAACTGATTCTGTAACTGATAGCATTAATGGAGACAGGAAATACTAATGAGGAAAATACATGCACGGATACATGCAAGCATACACACCTACACTACTAAAGAGCTGAGAGGAAGATCAATTGTAAATATTTCACTCTTTCTCTCGCTCTCTTTCTCCTTCCTCTTTCCTCACTAAAATAGAAAGCAAAAAGTAAAAGTTAAAACTGAAAGTTTATGGAGCCCCTCTGAACTGATTTCTACCTGATCTATAAGCTATGAAGTAAAGGAAAAGTCCTATCAGAAAGTGAGTGTTGTGCCATTCCTCTTTACTCTTAACTCCAGTGTTCTAGTCCTTCATATTTGATCATCAGTTATTGGGATGCCTGAAAAGTTGCACTCTAAGCATCTCTATTGCCAAAAGAAGTTCACAAACTGAAGCACCACTTAGGGGAAATGTTACTTTTGCTGCTTAAAAGAGAAAAGCATTCCCTTAACAGGAGCAGGCCAATTCAGAGTCAATCCTGAACCTGGAGCTGGTCCACAGGGAATCCAACCCTGTTCCGCCATTGTGCCACAGAAGACCAGATATTCCCAGGAGCCAAGCATTCTGTATCATGGTTGGAAATAAATTTTATTTGATCCTCAATCATGTAAATAAACACATACAACCCTACATATTATACACGTCTGCAAGCTATCTGCCCCTGACTCTCCATCCTTGGCCCATTCTGAGTGTCAAAAGCAGAACTCCCATGGCAGAATCAACTCAAAGAGAGCCTGGTACAGACCATCAATGTTCCAAGTCTCCTAGAGTGTTGGCAGGAGTGTGTCAGGGCCTGAATGAGACCTGCCTTTGAAATCACACAAAAAGTGCTTTAACATGCTGAATTCAAGTTTAAATTCAGTTATTACTAATTCCTCAGACTATTTGGTTCAAGTTGAAATGAGAAAAAAAAAGTCTTCCAACAAAGCATTCCCTTAAAAAACAGATTGCCAAAAGGCAACTTAGTCACTTGTGACTTCTGAAGGAAAAAATCTTTCTTTGGATTACCAAGGGGTTTCATTTGAAAATAAATGTGTAATCCAGAGCTGTTATGTTCTGTGACAAAATCACAAATATAAGCATACATAAACCTCTAATCCTGTTCTGTGGTGACTGAAATCATGCAGGGATAAAACAAAAAAAAGAGTATAGGCACATTTCCCTAAGGATAACTCTTTCATATAGACCTTCATTATGCTGACTTTTTTCCTGTAAATATTTTGAATGTGCATGATTAATTTGTGTCACTTGTCCAACACCTAGATGTGCCTGACAACATCCTAACATGAATTTCTGGATTGGTTTCAGAAACAGTGACTGGTAACTGTATCTACAAATGGTTGATCTATTTTGATGCGAGCTTAATTAATGCCAAATATGAAACTCCAAATGTCACAATTCAGGAGTTTAAATTTTAATTATTAGAGCGGTTTAGTTAACTTATTCCAAAATATAATTTAATGGGAATATAAGTTTTCTTACAATAAATTCAGTTTTTAAGATAAAAAGATTTCAGGAAACCTCTCTATTATGCTTTTAGCATGGGAATAAGAACTATATAAAAATGTTACCATGCTCGGACTGTAATTCAGTGCTGGAATACTTGCCTAGCACATAAAGCCCAAGGTTCAATCTCCCACACCAGGCAGAAAGAAAAGAGAAGCAGAATGATGTGGCTTCAACATTATATCTTGTTCTACCAACTTGCAGAGAGGAACTGAGCTCCCAAGTTATGAGATCTGGTCACAAAGTCCAAGTTTCTTTTTGATGAAATTTGAGATTAGGAGCTGAGGCCGTTGCTGGTACTCCACTAGAACATCATGGGACAAGTTGATTTGATCACAGTCAAGTCTGTCAAGCAATGTCACACAGACCACAGCAGCTAGTAGAGAAAATGACACAATTACTGAAGTGAACAGGTTTATCTTTCCTACATTAGCCTGACACGCCATTGTTCTTAGCACATGCACCTGGTATCATTTTTCCTGTAATGTAAATTCTACCTGGAAAACCTTCTCATACTCCATACAATTCATATTTCTATGGAATCACAACAAAGACTTTTTATTTAAATAAGTTCGTTGAAAATATTATGAGCATTCCTCTTCCCCCCTTCCTCTATAGGGGGCTTGATTTAGATTCAAAAAAATCTGTGTTCAAGATAGGGGTTAAGAAGAGATCGTTCCCATTCAAGACACACAACCTCCAGCTTTCAATCCTATTTCTAGTTCTTAGAGCAGGCTCTTCTTGCTTGAGGCTTCCGTGAAGAGCTAGCCATTATTCCCTGGTGACATTTCACTCTTCCATTTGAATTTGTCTGCTATGGCCCTCGAGGAAGAGTAAAATAAATAGAAAACAGAGATTGAAGGTTGATCCAGGAAATACCAATAAAGGTGAGGACTGATTCCTATGAAATTTGAGAAAAAAGATCTGAAATGAAATGCTTAAATGTAAGAACCAGTACCATGAAAGAAAAGATACAGTAGCATTTAATTTCTAAAGAATAGGAACAAAATTCTTCAATAGACAAAACACTAGGGGTAAAAACCAAAAATCCTTCTTTAAAAAAATCAAAATTGTCCTTTTTTGAAAAGTCATCACAGAGGCAATGTCTCTGATTTAGTCCATCAAGATGGACCAGAGAAAAATATTGGTTTCCATATAAATTCTTCAGTATCATTTTCACAATCATTGATTTCAAGGAATGTGATTACTTACATGAAATCAGCCTCAAGCACTTTGAATTGATAACAGGAAATAATCCCCATCTGTATCCTTTTTAAAAAGGATGTCAGTGTCTATTGTATTAAATGTTTACACTGACAGATTTTGAGAACATAAAAATGGAGTTGAACTTATTTCCTGACCCCCTCTACTACTTTAGACTTCTTTCTAAGATCTGGATTTGGGTAGAATTGTACTGCAATGAATACATGCTATCATTCTAAAATTTACTTTTAATTGACAAATAAAAATTGTGTATAGTTAATTGGTATTTTGATATATCTATCTGTATATTGTAGAAAAACTTGAAGTAAGTAGCAGTTCCATTGCTTCACATAAATTTTGGTGTGATAAATACATGTAAAATCTTCCCTTAGCAGTTTTGAAATATATATTAACTATAGACACTACACTGTGCAACAGATTACCAAATTTTTTTTTAAGTAACTGAAAGTTTGTAACCTTTGACCTGCATTTTCCCATTCCTGTCTACATCCCACCCCACCCCACTCCTGCCTCTGGTGACCACTATTCTAATTCCTACTTCTCTTGAGTTTGATTTTTTTAGATTCCACATATGAGATCCTGCAGTATTTGTGTTTCTGTGTTAGCTCATTTCACTTGGCGAATATCCTCTGGGTTCATTCACATTGTCACAAACTTACTTCTTTATTAAGTTGAATAGCATTTTGTTTTGTGCATATACCACATCTTCTTCATCCAATGATCTGGTAATGACACTTAGGGTGATTTCACAGCTTCACTATTGTGCTTAACTCCACAATGATTGGGAATGAAGGTATCTCTTTAACATATTGATTTCAGTTCTTTGAGTACATATGCAGAAGTACAACTGTTAGGCCATGGTAATTCTAGCCTTAGTTTTTTTTAGAAAACTTACAATTTTTCAAAATTAAGGTGCTAATTTACATTTCCACTAACAATGTAATGCTCTCCAACTCTTGTTTTCTTTTGTCTTCTTGGTAATAACCATTCTAACAATTTGTGAATTGATATACCATTGTGCTTTTGATTTGTATTTCCCTGATAATTAGTAATATTGAACATTTTCAAATATGTTTGCTAGGCATTTGTAGAAATGTCTATTTGGGTCCTGTGACTATTTTTAAAATCAGGCTATTTTTTTTCCCCTTGCTACTAAGTTGTATGAATTTCTTGCATATTTTGAATATTAATCTTTTATCAAATATGCTGTATGTAAATATTTTCTCCTGACTCATGAATCTCTGTTAGGCTTTGTTCTTCACATAAGCTAAAGACCTAAGACATCCAGTTCACACAAATGTGGCGTAAACTAGGGTATTACTTTCGTCTCTTTTGACAAAGATGAAATGGCTTAGTAAGGTTAAAATAAGGGCATTGTGATGCAACTATTCAATAAATAGCCAATAAATTTCCAGCTTCCTAAACTGCTGAGAAGAGTTTTCTCCCCTCCATTCACCCTTTTGTCAAACTGGGACAAGGTGAACCATTAGGAGAACCTGTCCTGACCTATCGGTCAAACTGACCCTTATGTTCAATGAAGCAATAAGAATATTCAATTTGAGCTGAGTCAAATATTTCATCACGTAGGACCCTATTTACTCAAAACTCACTCAGTTGTAAAGCAACTTGGCTGAACAGGTAAACAAGCAAATGGAAAAGCTAGAAACTTTCCTCAGCTTTTCAAGTTAATGATCCGCAAGTCTGTGAAGCATGGGCTGTCAGGAGCAGGAAAGAGTTGAAAGTCCTTCTCTAATCCTTCACTTGGCAGCAGGATGAAAGGAAACCAGTGCTCTGTACCTTTCACAGAGTGAGACCTGACTCCACTAAGTGTCTTTTCTGGACTTCAAGGGTAATGCCACAGATGGGAAAGAACCGGCAATAAGCAGTCGCAGTGGTGTTTTCTTGACCCTAAAGAGCTCATTAACAAGCACCATGTAATAATCTTGTCACCTAAAATTACTATCTCCATGAACAATTAAATGGGACTAATTATTCAAAACAATTTGTTGAAATTAAACCTGGCAGCTTTGCTACCATAATGATCAGCTTAGGTGTGGAGGGTAGAATCTGCGGAGGGAGGGACACTTAGTGACCAAGTTGTCACCAAGAAGCTTGTCAGCTGACTGACCTGAGGATGGAATATATGAGAACATACAGATCCTTATGTGGAATTTAATGTTCCCTGAGTTGCGCTATGAATGCCTGGCGATTTGTAACTCCTTGGGGGTCATTTATGGCCTTTTTGAGAATCTGATTAAAGTTATAATTGGAATGTCTTTTCATAAATGTGCCTAAACATACAAAATACTTGCGTATAATTTTAGGAAGCCCCTGGCCCGCAAAGCCCTGAAAACACGGAGATTGGATTAATGATCCTAAAGGATGTTCTCTTATGTGAGTATGTTGGCAGTGGGGAAAGGGGATTACAGTCTTAGTTACTTCCCTCATCATTGGGACACATACCTGACACCCACAAATTTAAAGAAGAAAAATTTATTTTAGTATAAATTTGTAGAAATTTCAGTCCATAGATAGCTGGCACCAGGGCGAGGTGACATGGCAGAGGGGCATAGAGGAGGGCTGCTCATAGACAGGAAGGCAGACCTTTTAGGCCACAACCCCCAGTGACCCACCTCCTCGGACCAGACTTTTCCTCCTAGCATCATATTTAGCTAAAGACTCATCTGTGAACTAATCCAGCCATGAGTATCACCTCTCCATGAGCCAATGATCTTCTGAAAGCCCCACTTATGAGTGCATGAAGCTTTGAGCGGGGATATCTAGATATAGACCATAGCTATTAGCCTACAGGTTAGGAGAGTAGAATTTAAATGAATCAAACCAGACTAAAGAAACTGACTTTGATTAAAAATATATACAATTTTATAAAGCAGGAAGATAGATTTTTTAAAAATTATCTCTGTAAAAGTAGTGAGTGAAAAACGTTTAAATGGATTTTGAATGTTTCATCACAAAGAAAAGATAAATGTTGTGGATAGGCTGATTATTCTGATTTGATCACTATATAATCACATGTGTATTGAAATTTCATACTGTATTTCATAAATTGGTACAATTATTAGCATTTAATTTAAAAAGCATGAAGTAATAAATAATCCATCTATTACTTAACCTGATTATTATTTATTACTTAACCTGATTTTCCACATACAAGGACTGAGTTTCTTGATAAAATAATGAGTATCTCCTTAACATCTTTACTGTATCCATTTTTACTGGGTAACTCTCAGGATGTGCTTAGCCCTAGGGTTTTGCTAGATGTTGCACAGCTATATACGTTCACAACACTGAAAACAGATGAACCTCCATTGGCTTTTAGTGGTGCAAATTTTGGTTCTTCTGTGCAGGGACAACAAACCTTGTGCCTGCACAGGGAAGCTGTTTGCAAGAAGCACAGCATGGTGCAAAGCGTCTCAGAGTGAGCTGAATTCAAGGTCCAACTCAGCTTTTCTCCGCCATGAGAAGGTAGGAAACTTATTTAACCTCTCCAACCCACAGTTTCTTTTTCTTTTGTGGAGAGAAGAGGCCTGCAGTTGGTTGCCTCATGCCCTTCTGTATTAATTTTTCAAAATCCTGATTAATCTCCTCTTCAGAGTTAAAAAATATTCCTGCTCTGCATTTACCATAATCTTCTATTTTTATTGTAATATCATTTTGATTTTATCTTTGATCACCATGCAATTTCCAGAACCCACTATCCTTCCTTGCTGGGGACAGTAGAAGAGTGCAAAAATGGAGTTAAAGTCAAACTTCGGTTCCCTTTTATTGAACATTTGTAAAGTTCAATAGTTGTAAAGTTGTAATACTGTGAAGATTGAATATATCCCCCAAAGTTACAAGTACCTGTCAAAAGACATAACATTGAACCCTACTTTTAAAGAACAGCCTCTGTGAGTTGCAAACAACTAAGGACACTAAAGAGGATTTAAGTACAATCTAATCTTCAACAGATATAAGTTTTTTATATTACCAAGCATACACATGCCCACATTTTTAAAAATGGATATAAATTGAATATACTTATCACAAGGTTATAGTGCAAAAAGTTATTATTTTTAATCAGAATTTTAAGGATTTAATTAAAGATAATTTTGCTTTAAGAAAGGAGCAGATAGTCCACATGGTAAAATGATAGACCAGTTTATTATATGGTCTTCTTTTGTACAGCTTTATGTTATTCTAAAGGTTTGGCCTTTTGATGTAGACTAATTTGATGAACTGTGCTATTTCTCTTCACTCAAATCTTTATTAAAGCAGCATTGAATTCCTAATACTCTTGGCCAGGATAATGAGATCAGTAGAGGAACAGTGATTCATAAGGGTTAGTGGCCCTTTTCCAGGAAGTCTGTGCAACTGCTGAACATGAAGAGACCCAGGGATTGCAGCTATAGTAAAGGATGTATTTGTAAGATCTCACAGTAAAGCGAAGCTTGACCTGTTTGGACAGTTAAGAAGCACTCCTGTTTTTCATACTATTCCAAACCACTAAGAGGACTAGGGGATTGAGGGCTAAATTGATATGGCCGTTTTCCATGGCCAAAATAGTCTAGCAATCATTTTTTCCAGTGAATCATTCAACAGGTATCTATTGAACGCCCATACTGCAGACACTATTCTAAGTACTGGGGACAGAGTGATCACAAGCGAAGTCCTCATTGTTATGGTCTTATATCTTGATGGAGAGAGACAATAAATGTATTATCATTAATATTCATAAATTAAAATATAAGTTAGTATACAAACAAAGCAGACATAAAGTCAAAAGTGGTAAATGTGATGCAGAGAAACGAGTCAGAAGGTCATAAGTAGGAGAGAGTGTGTTTGGGTGACCATGTAAGACTTCCCTGAAGGAGTGAGATTTGTGGTGAGACCTGACATTAACTGTAAAGACAAGAGGTAATAAATAGTTCACGTGGACCTGAGTCTTGCCTGTATCAAGTAGGTACAGAAGCAGCTGTTTCTGTGCTGGCCTGAATTCTGTGAGCAATTCCTCTGAAATTAGAACAGTGGGCCCTCAGAAGATTCTTACTTCTAAAAGATGTTATTTATAAACTGAAACTATCAGTTACCACTTTGGTATGAATTCAGATTGTTTTCTAGGCATCTGGTAGTATTAAAGAGACAGAGAAGGTCATCAGAGAAGACTGCCTGGAGAAGCAGGATGGGGTGAGCCACTACTAACAGTAGCAGGTATAGGTTGTAAGTGGAGACACGTCTTCCAAAGACCCTGTGCTCTTGGAGTTATGTGAAATCTTTTTTTTTTTTTTCCTGTGGAGACTACCACGGATATACCCTGCCGAAGTTCCTCTGTTTCAGCAGCTGTTTGAGAATTCATCTTCAGCCCTTCTCTAAGGTACTCTTGTTTGGCTTACAGAGAATGGGCTGGGTAAAATCAAAAGGTGCCAGATACCAGCTCTCCAACTTCACTGCTGTGGAGGAAGGACATTATGAAGTGGTAATGAAAGGCAGGAACGTGGTAGCAACTGTGCATGGGTTTTTGTTTGATGGCTGATCTTCCTGGAAGCAGTGTACCAGGAATCTACCTTTTAAAACAGAGATGTCTGAGAGAAGTACAAAGCCTCTGTCACCATGAAGAAATGCAGACATAAATACCCCCAAGAACTACCAAATTACAGAGGTTCAGATGCTACCTTAGTATGAGTGTTGGTAGCCCAGAAGGGGTCTGCAGTGGGCTAGAAGAGAGCTATTTGCAGGCTGAAATCAGCTGCCTGCAGCTTCAGCAGAAGCAGCAAAAAGAAAGTGCAGCAGGGGGCAGAACTGCAGGAAGGCAGAGGAAAACATCAGGGAGAGGGACCTGCAGGTAGCCAGAAGAGCAAAAAGAACAAGGTCACAAAGATTTGCACCAAGGACAGAAAAGCTCTCATAATGGAATAACTTCGTAAGGTTTCTGCAACATCCAGAAGAGAGAGATTCATGTCCTCAATTCACAATTCTCTCTGGCTCCACTGAGGAAGAGCTGATAGTCACCTCCACTGGCAGCCCATTGATAACTCAGCATTTTGTGTTTAATAAAGCGGTTACCAGAATCTGTTCATTTGCATATTCGTCTCCACTTCGATGTGACTGAAGTGATCACTTGTTTTTATGATAAAGAAATGTGAGGAGGATTTTCCTGTACTAGAACTATCTGAGCCCAGGTGACCCTGCAGGCCGTGTGCTAATGAACAGATCACGTAAACCACTCTCACTGACTCACAGAGAGAAAAGCAGATGCTGTTGTTTCTCGGAATGGGGTGTTAGCCACGATCTTCTAAAAGGAAGACTGATGTCCTTGTTATCCTTCACTCAAATGGTACAGGCTTTGCATTTGCTGAGACTAAAGTAATTAAGGATGGTAATTATACAGTTAATCTCTTCTTAAAAACTACAACTATTTTTAAAATGTATTCTTAGAAGTGCTACCACGTACATTTTATTTGTTAAACATATGATAAAATTGATTAACTATGAGGACAAATATTAAAATTCAGACACCATTTATGATAAAACGAACCATTATTATGCTATAATTCTTTGCTGCTTCTTTCAAAAATTGTCAAGATTTTTTTTTTTTTTTTTTTTTTTTTGAGATAGCAAGATGCTCCACTCTTGATAAATGCTGCCGGCATCACTGGTCACTCCTCCTTGGTCTCCCTCACCTCCTCTGGCTTTTATTGTTTCATAAGCACCTGTGGTCATCAGTGTCTTCTATGCACATCTGCCTTGTCATCTCACCATTGCATGGCTTTAAATGCTGGCGGTATGTTTCAACTTACAGTTTTATTCTTCCAGTCCAAACTCTCCTCTGAACTCCAGATTCCTAAATCTATCTACTTATGTGGCCTCTATTTGGATGTCACTGTCCCTAAGTCCTCATCTAAATTTTTTCTGTTCCATTTATAACCTCATCCTTCTAGGTGTTCTGGCTGTAAACATGTGAGCAATTTTGAAGTACTGGCTTTCTCCCAAAATTCACATCAAATTATCAAAAACTCTTCAGAACCTCTTTCTCTCTATCTCCACAGCCATCACCCTGGACATCGTCTCGCACTGGACTGCTACATTTGCGTTCTTATTCTTCTCCTTGCTTTTACCCTGGCCCCATTAGGCTCTTCTCAACTCAGCAGCCAGAGGTTTCCTCTGATCACTTCCCTATTCAAAATCCTTGGGGAGCTTCTGGTTTCACTTGCAGGTAAAGTCACAGATTGCACAATGAACAAGGACACGATCCACAATGCTTCCAACCCTTTTGCCATTCTTCACTGCTCCTGCTCCTCCAGGTCCTCTGGTCTTTTCTTTGTCCCTCTGACACAACCTGTATCTCCTGTCTTGTGACCTTAGGTTCACATTTATCAGAATCTGTTTCCCCAGAGTCCAGGCAGCATTTTCTCAAATGCCACCTTCTCCTCTCATCCTCCCCTGACTGAGCTAATTAAAATCGAGATTGATGGATTATTTTAGGACCCTGTCTCAGTAAATTCAGTTGTAATAAAAGATAGCAGTCGCTACTAGGTTAAAGAAACTGAACTTGCTGTGGAGGACTAGCTAGATCATTAATAGCTGGTGCCTTCAGGCAACTTGCTTTTAACCCTTGAGGCTTGGTTTCCACATGTGTGTAATAGGCACAATGTCCTGTCCACTCGGAATACATGAAATAATGCATACTATATACAAGTACAAGGCATGCATTCAACACGAAATAATATATAACTGGACTCTTTATTCTTGAGTGGAAATGCTTTCATGAAAAAGGAGAATGAAACCTGTGGGCTCACCTTTTAGACCACAGAGTCCACACATGGCTGCGAATACTGTAGATTCCATTTCAATATTCCTGACACCAGCTTTATATGCTCTCTTTAAGTAATCCAACTTGTGTTCTCTAGAGAAAGAGCACAATGCACCATCGAGTCGACCTTGGCCTAAAACAGAATGGAGATCCTTTAGCAACCTGATGGATAGCAATGGTGTTACCAGAAGGCTTGCTAATAGCCATCTCTAGCTTGAGCCTGCTTCTTGGGTGTGATCAAGCTGGCTACTGAATCCTCCTACCGAAGGACTGGGGAGCATGACTGTACCCACTCCAGAATATCTTATGTAGAGTAGAATGCACATACATGGCTGAGTGCCCCACCTGAGGCCAAAGACCAGTGAATGAGTGGTGGTAGCAGCTGGCAGTGTGCCCAGGGATATCAGGAACTAGAGGATACCTCTGAGAGAACTGAGCTGTCCTTAGAGGAAAACCTTAGACTGCCCTGGTGACTAGGGTGTGGCCCAGATAGAGGTGCTGGGGCAGAAGAGGAGGCTTCACATCTCAGTAACATGCCTAAGATAAATGAAGGTTGAAACGATGGTATGAACACTGCAGCTCTCCATGTGTCTATCATGAGAGTGAGGACCAGTTCGGTAGGTCAGACTGCCTGCCCTCCTTCCCTTCATACTCCTCGCAAGATGTGAACAACCACCCCGCGTTCACATTTCCCTTTCTGGATAGTTCCCTATTTTCATGTCTCATTCATTTCACCAGGATCAAGTGGTGGGGACAGAGGAGGTGGAATCGTGCCTGTTCTCACTCCTCCAACACTGTGCACGCTCAGAAGTTGACCTCAACCACCCTCCCCCAGCAGAGCTCAGCTTGAAGCAGCTGGGCTGCTAACACCATACCATCATCCATTATGTGCAGTCCATTTTTACTTTCTTTCTTTCTTTCTTTCTTTCTTTCTTTCTTTCTTTCTTTCTTTCTTTCTTTCTTCCTTCCTTCCTTCCTTCCTTCCTTCCTTCCTTCCTTCCTTCTCTTACCTCTGTCTCTTGGAGGTTCTTTCCATCCTGGCAGTCAACTTCTCCCCATTCTTTCTCTTTCCCTTAGCACTGCCTGCCAGTACCTCAAGCTCCATGTCATTTACACTGATTCACACATGTATCCTAGAAGCCAAGCACAGGGTGGGCCTAGCCTGAAGTGAGTAACCCCAGTATGTATGACCCAGACATGGCCCAGGACATGCCAGATCTGCCATACATATTATATATTTTTGTTACCTTATGCTACTTCAAAAAGCCACAAATTTGGATTTTCATATGAAATCTCTAGAAATTACAAATGTTGGCAAAACAATTCACATTTAAAAAAAAATACTTTCCAAGCTGAACAAAACATTGACTGCACTGGTTGCCATTTGCACATTTTGTCTTCAAACCTAAGTCAATCTCTGGATGAGAGAACAGTGAGCCCATAGCCTAGGATAGAGCCTTCTAACCTTGTCAGATCCAATATTCCTTTCATTTTATAACAAATGTTTGGTTAAACACCTTCACTGTCCTTAAGTGTAAAGTGTAGATAATGCAGTCTATCTCACTGCATTTTTAAAAATTTAAAATAATACCTGAAGCTTGATCCAGTGGAAATATAAAAGTTATTCACAACATGATTTTGATGTGGACTTAAAATTATGCTAAAAGATTTCCTGAATGTTCTCCACAGCATGGTACCAGCCCCAGGACAATTCATCCTTCTGGAATGAGCAGGATCTGCCCTCAAATGGTTTTGTTGATTTGCTTGCTTCTTTTCCTTGCCCCTCATCCCATGGAACAAGAACCACTGTTTGGCAGTCACCTTCAATTTGTCTATAAGCTTGCTGTGGGGATCTTTTGCTAATGCTGAGATAAAAGCACAACACTGTGCTTTCCATCCATCCTTGTGGGATTGTCCATTTCCCCCATTCCCAATCTCCCAAACATTTCCCATTTCCCAGTCTCCACCCTTGCTTAGGTATTGCATTCTATCTGTGATACAGGTGAATGACAAAATCTGTATAAGTTTCTCCCCCTGAAGTCACCAATTTCAGTTAACAGCATGAACAAAGATAAGATTTTGTCAACATAACATCACTAATTGCATTTTACTATTCGATTTGCTCTTGGAGGATTAAACCTAATATAAATTCTTTCTGCATGTTTCTTTGCTGCTCATTAGGTCCTTATGTCACTATGCTTTAGTAAGTTAAAAGGCTGTGGCAGTTTCTTTTATCATCCATAAGAATTAATTTTCTAAAGTAGAGTTTTTAACAAGTTATGTGTTTGAATAATGGAGTTGCTGGACTTTTTCTGTTGCCTTGACCATTTATGAATTCTTCTCACCTTCATAAAAATCATAAGTACACATTGTATGTCCAATGAGCGTTTGGAAGTTGGGAATATTTTTGCTACAGGTGAATAGTTCTTCAACCAGCTCCTTGTCAAGTTCAGTACTTCGAGTGACAATGTTGTCCAAAATTACCTGTTCAAACCGGGGCCTGAAGAAGGAGTCCACAGCTGTGTCTGTTATTACAACAGACCCAGGTGCAATCCCTGCAATATGGAAGCAAATAAGCATTAAGGAAGAATATCATTTAAAATTTACTTTTGTGACACTTAGTAATCACCTATTCTGCCAACATTAATTAATGCTAATTGCTACAGATTTTCCCTGTTTTCTTTTTTAAGATTATTTTCTTTTCTAAATGCAATTAAGTAAGATTCAGAACAGGCATTTTCATTTCCTGTCTTTCTAGATTTCCATTTACAAAGTGATGGGGTTTAGATTTCAAGACAAACATGACTCTTGGACATGTAAATTAGTACCAGTCTCGAGGCTCAATTTTGCATAAACTAGGTCAGGAATAAACTAAATGAGCCTGCCAGCATAAAGTGTTGTGACTACTTGATATTTAGTCTTCTTTGCAACTCCTTGATTACTATAATTTCTTGGCATCAATTTCTGTCCTCTCTTCTTTCTGATTCTCATCACATTTGCTCCATCTCCTCCCTGACTCCATGTAAATTAGGCTGCTTGGCTGACCTTCCTTGCTACGAAGTCTAGCTTAGTCAAGGGCCTCAGCTTACAAGAGAGGCTGTGTTCTGCCAACTCTTCCTTTGCCTGGCTGGAATCCATTTGCACCCTGCCCAACACTTTTTCTTCAGACTAATACCAGTTCATCTTTCAGGTGGCAGCTTCAGTCACTTCCTTTAATAGGCCTGCTTTCACGGAAGGAGAGTGAAACCAATAAATACATAAAAATAAGACACAACACAGGTTACATTAAATTTCCCCAAGCCACCTGTGACTCAGCTTTGGGTTTGTTCTGACTACTATTTAGATCTTGATTAATGAAATATGTTCTATCATTAGAGTGCACTAAACTCTGTCTTAACACTCACGTGCTTTGCGTGTGTGTGTGTGTGTGGTACTGGGGACTGAACCCAGGACTGTTACTCTTTGCTACATCACCAGCACTTTTATTTATTTATTTATATTTTAAGATAGCATCTTACTAAATCCCTAAGTTACCCAGGCTGGACTTGAACTTGTGATCCTCTTGCCTCACCTCCCTTTTTACAGCTACATATTTGTTTTTGTATTTCTCTGATATAACATAGGTTCTACTAAGGTGAGAACAACTGCTACTCACTCCTATCTCCACAGGTCTAGCACTGCACTTGTCACACTGGGGTTACTCAGTAGAAATATTTTGCATGAGTAAATGTTTCTGAGAGGTGCCATAGAGAACAATTGTGCAAACTCTAGTCCACAAATCAAATTCCAGTTGTCTTTGTAAATAAAGTTTTATTGTAACATAACCACATACATTCCTCTAAATACTGTCTTTTGCTGTTTGCAATCTACTGTGTAGAATTCAGACGTTGTAACAGAGACTGTGTGGTCTGCAAAGCCTAAAATATTTACTTTTCAGCCCTTTGCAGGAAGACTTTGCCAATCATTGTGAGGTAACAGATGCAAACCTGAGTGATATAAATTCCAATATTGATCAAAGTAGAGTCAACTACAGAATATTTTAGAAGATCAAACATGTGCTCTGAGGTAGAGTCTGAAGATAGAGCTTTAATGGGTCAGATGCTTCTTACCTCAACTAAACAAATGGCTTCCTGAAATGTTCAAAATATGTTAAGAACAGGAAAACAATTGAAAAGGAAGTTGAAAATGAGTGCATCCAAAATGATGACATTTGCATGCTATCCTTGTATTTATATCCATTAAATTTATTTCATGGTTAAATTCTTTCGAAGGGAAAAATAGTACTTTGCCAAGTGACTTATTAAAGTGTGTTCATTCTTTTAAGGAAGAATATCAGCAAAGGAATACACATACCTCTTTTACTCCACATGCAATATGGCTTAAAATAAAATAAACTAGTGCATCCTATTTGTAAGTAAAAAGTTCCTAATAAGGATACAACTTTAAAAATGAAGACGTTCACACCAGAACCATGGATTTCTTTACCACTATTCATACACATTCATTGTGATTTTGTTTCTGTCTGTGTGCAGTATGGATAATATTGCCACAAACTAAAACAAAATGAATATGAGCTGGACGGTTACCAAAGTAGTTTATCCATCCTGGACACTCATGAATACCAAGTGGTATCTGCACTAGTCAGAATCGTATTATGTAAGGGTGTGCACTGTGAATACCAGCACTTGTGTACCACAACCCAAGTACAGTGAGAAACTTTAATAGCAATGCTATCCATTTCATTCCCAGATGCATTGTTCCCTATTGATATTTGATGTACCACTGGGTTACTATGATCTAAAAGCAGTCTCCTCTAACTCTAATTGCTTATATTTTTTTTTCCACTCTGGATAGACATCTAGATTTTCTTTCTCCCACATGTAGGGGGCCTTGGCTGGACTTTATTCAGGAACCACTGCCTGACTTTAGTGAAGCATGGCTAATTTTAGCGACTATGTCATTAGACATAACACTTCTTTAGTTTGGGGTTTTTTTCCCTTTTTTTGTTTTTCTTTCCTTTTTCTTTCTTCTTCTTCTTTTTTTTTTTTTAGATTTCTGAGGTCTTTTCTTACAAAGTTGTACAATTCTAAGGACAATTATATTCAAACTCTAAGTATTTTGTATAATGCCCATTTAATTTTGTCATTCTGTTAACCAAATCTTTCCAGTTATACTAAATTATTTGTATTTGCATTTGGTGGCATGATAAAATCACTCCCTGACAAGACCTGTTCTGCAAGAGAGCTGAGAGAAGCAAGGTTTCCCCAATACTTTTATTTCAGCACAAAATGGAATAATAATTAAGGCCCCTTGACAGCTGTCTGATCCACCAAAGAACAGAGATTTGGGGAAGCTCTGGGAAATCGTTGGAAAGAGTCATTTGACCTTCTCTGTAAAGCTTATCCTGGTCTCTTTCTGGGGTACTGATGAAGAACAATACATTCAAAAAAGGGATGTAGTCACTGAGATGATTCAAAAGCAATGGTTTCCTGAGAACTCTAAGTCCTGCTTACTGAGCTGATATAATGGATGAATCTAGGGCTGGGGGTTTAACTCAGTGGCATAAGCGCCTGCCTGGCAAGTGCAAGTTTGTGAGTTCAATCCCTGGTACCAAAAAAAAAAAAAAAAAAAAAAAAAAAAAAAAGAGAGAGAGAAATTACAATAGATGAATCTTTGTAGCTTCTTTACTTAAACACACTCATTTCTGCTACCTATAAAATTTTCAAATTTCAAAACTTACTTCTACCCTCAAATTATTTTCTAGCACTTCTGCACACCCTGTATGGACATCTGAGACCATTTGGGAATTAAGCAGTAATATCTCTTTCTACAGCTTTCTATGGTGAAATAAAAAAAAGAAAAAAACATGTGGATGGATTTTCTTGCATTTCCTCAACTCTAGTCTCCTAACATTTTTTAACCCATCTGGGTTTCTATTGGGCTGTGTATTGGTCTACTCTGAATGAATGTAAGCATGCATGTGAGAATCACTTAGTTTTAATGGTAGAAATTAATCCATCTCACCTATTCCCCCTGATGTACCAATCCTGATAATAGTAACATCACAGCATCGTGCATGACGCAGTAATTTGATAAGTTCATGAAGCATAATGGAAATTGAGGGGACTCCCATGCCATGCTGTTGAGAGAAAAGAGAAAGTAATTATACATCACACAAAAGGATACAGGAGCAGGACCTATTTTCTTCATTACAAGTTAACAACCCTCAGATAAATTTGCATAATCATTAAAATTTTGCCAACACTGAAGAAAATGTAGGTCATCTCTTATTGGCACCTACATGACATACTGATAGATGTGTCCATCTGTGAGGATCAGAGAGAGGCATCTCACTGCCGGTTAAATGGAGCTCAGTTCTCATTGTCAAGAGCAGAAGGTAGGGATGGTGTGGGAGTGTACTGGTGCACCAGGGAAGTACCATTTCTGATCCCACTATAAGGTTTCTTTTCAGTGATGTGTAAAGAGCTTTTGCACAACTGATTTAGTATGTAGAAAACATAATTTTAGCTGCCATATTACCAGCGCTTTTCCAAAATAGTAAGTAAGAAAATAGAACCAATTCATTTTCCCCATGTGACCACTTACTGCTAATTCTATGTGATCACTGTAAAGTTCTAAGACAGAAATGTGGTAAGATTCCTACCTAATAATTTACAGCTTTTCTGAACATGTAGGAGAGTTTAAATTACCACAGCTTGTGGTAGTAATTCTGGTTTTTTTTTTTTTATTATTTTAAACAGTGGAATCAGTGCCATCTGACCAGGGATCAACACAAAACCAGAGGATTTAACAACTGTTAGTGACTATATTGTATTCTAGTAGTTCTATAAGAAGATCTTCTATACTGTCATTTGTGAAAACTGGATCTCGGTTTCATATTGGTGACTATTTCATTCCTCCTTTAAGAGTAGAGAGTCAAATGATACCATTATGTATTCTACTCTCGGGCACAGGTAGACTTGGCAAAACCACTAGAGATGTGCCCATAATACCGTCATCCAAGTTACTTCCTTCTCAACATCAAGAATGTTAACCAATGAAAACTCTGGACCTCTAGATTCACCGTTTTTGGTCATCCAATAGGTCCTGATAGAATGTGTCTTAAGTATCCTGGAGCCAGGAATTAAGCTGTATTTATTTGTATGTCCAAGATTAATGAGTTTGGGATTTTGGCACTGGCTATGCAACCAATGAATAAACCAAACATCATTTCCCCAACTATAAATTAAGATGTTGGATTATTGTTTGAACTACTAGATTCCTCCTAAATCAGATACTTCATAAGTTTATGATTATCACTTATTTTGTGATATAGTGATAAAATGACAAATGGACTTAAATGTTTCTGTTAAAGTTATGGTCTCTCTCTCTTACACACACACGCACTCACAGTTCTTGACAGCTTGGAGTGGAGGAATTTTCAAAGGTGTCCCCACTAGGGATCCTTTGTCTGCCTACCAAGGACCATTTTTAATTGGCTAATCTTGGCATAGTACATGTTTCAGATCCTTTTCCCTGACAGGCCAGGAGGATTAGTCTGCTGCTGTTTTCATGTTTTATTCTGAAGTTTTACTGTTCACTTATGGTAGTTCTACTTTTTTAATAAACCTTACTTTTTGGTTCTTCATGTACCACACACAAAAGAACAAGTGGTTATAGTTTAAAAGACTAGAAGCAAAAATTACCAAGACAAGATTTTCCAGGATCAGAGGATATTCTGTTCCCTTCTTACAGTAATGTGGATCATCTATAATTATTGATTGGATGAACTCTTGCGAGCCCAAAGGAGGTTTCAGACAATCCTGTCCTAAATGAGAGATCAACTTGGCTGCTCCATTGGTTCTGTATGCTCTTCCTTTGTTGGCCCAGGCTTGCAGTCATTATTACTATTCTCTACCACTAAGTATTATGGACAATCTGAGTGATTAGTACATGGTGACTGTTCCTGGTATGAATGCTGCTTGCACATCAGCTCTGTAGAACTGTGACACCTCTGTAGGACTCTCCCCTTGTCCCTTGATATGCCTGCCTGTGTCCATCAGGAAAGCTGCCCCAGGTGATGGGCTCATAGCTATTGCTTTGGAATCTTGCCCTGTTCAGACAGACAGTCTGGGAAAGCCCAATGGGATGTGCATACACAGATAACCTCACTTAGGGGAAATGGTCTGCAGGTTCCCTAAAACTTCAAATCATTCCACTTTCAGGTTTTCTTAGGACACTATGTGTCCCTAGAACTGTTAACATACTCTAAATAAAGGGAGAGCAATTCACAAGGGCTTATTGGAAATGCATCAGCAGCTTTTCAGAAAGCTTATTTTAGTGTTAAAAAATTCTGCTTTTTTGGTTCCTATGTACTAGAAACTCAACATTCTCAAAGCTGGATAAAAGAGAGAAAAGATAGATGGGGAAGGACATCAATCAGTTACAAAATAAAAAGGGGAGGAGCACTGGGTGAATGCCTTGAGGGTTTTTTTTTAATAACTTGAATAGTTAAATGGTCACTATGAAGTAATACTACAAGTTGTGCTGGATCTCAAAATCTTTTTCCAGCAACAGCTAGCATACCTGGATACATGTTTAACTACGTAAGAATGCTCAGCAGACAGCAAAAAGAAATGTATGCAGAAATCCTCACTTTGTTTTCCAACCTGTAAGCGCCACCTCTGCACACTTACACTGATGGACAGCACAGGCCCGGTCTTGAACATGCAGTATCTGTCAGTTCCAGCACAGATGTCTTCAACGTCCTCTCCACCTTCTGCCAACCCAAGCTCCTTGTGCATGAGCAGTGCAAAGGCTTTCATTCTCTTGGGGCTCCCACCAACACAGACAAACTGTTAGTAAAAATAAGCATGTACCTTCCGTAGTAACTGGGATAAGAACTCAGGGGCAGCTACCAACTGTAATGTTTTTATTTTAATATTCCATTCATTTATTTAAGATAATGTGGAGATGTCACGGGTTATGTTCACAATTAGCTAATTTACATTACTAACCTATAAAGAAGGCAAGCAGATGCAAAGTTTTATGTACCAAAGTAGTAAAGAATATCACATAATCATCTTAAATGCTGATATTGTTTAAGGAGGTATTTCCTGGTGGTTTTCATTGTTGTGGTGGTTTATAGTACCAATCATCATCTTACATTGATATAATCAGGCTAACATTGGGTATTAGCATAAGATATGCCTGGTGTGTAAGTAATGAGGATGTGTAATATAAGAAATATGAAAGCAAATGAAGAATCACCAGTTTCATATGTATTTTCTGATTCTACATCCCCATCATAAGCTTTTATTGTAAAATGTATTATGATAATTTTGTGCTATAGAGGAATCATGTCAACACTTTTCAACTTCTCTTTGAGAAGAAATTCTCACGAAACAAGCTTTATTATAAATTGGAATTTTACTGCAGTATCTCACCCATTCCAGTGATCTCTGTTTGTTTCCATTTTATTCATATTTAACATTTCTGAAATTAAGATAGGTGCTGCAGTCTCATCTAATAAAATGTGATAATCAATTTGGCAGCTGCTCCATGCAACAGAGTAGATGCCAGAGAAAGGGGCAGAGTGGCCTTTGGTGGTGGGACGAGCAGCCAGCTGGGTGAGCACCGGAGGCAGCCGCGGAGAAGATGAGCAGCAGCAAACTGTCACAGAGCCAAGAGGAGGCAGAGTCCACAGATGGCATCCAACGCAAAGTCACACAAACCCAAGCTAAGCCGCAAGGTGCACAGAGTGCTGAGAAGCGCCAAGACAGAGAAGGCCACTGTGCGGTCAGGGGCTGCCCTGGGAGCTGAGGTTGACTTGGTTTTGGACCTCAGCTGCTCACCGATTAAGCAACTTGCTCAATGTGCCATGTGTAATCTCTGTGTGCCTCGAACTGTCTCCAAAAAGGGAAAATACAGCATCCCTCAGGCAGGGGGTCTTGTTGGGTAAAATGTGATTGCATATGGCAAATGACATCACACAAAAGCAGGCACCTTCCCCATGTTTCATAAATGATGATTATTTTCCACGTTATGTAACAATTTCCTGGCCCTCCTTTTGAGCTTGCTCCTTGTTTCTGTATTGCAGAGTTTAGTACAAATTGAAGCTGATTTGAGTGCTCCAGTAAGGAAAAAGCAGTTGGTGGGACCTGACTGAGGTGGGCACATTGGGCAAAGGATCACAAGAAAGACGACAAGGTCCTTACAGGGATGAAGGTCTGTCTAAGGAAGTACCTGACTGAAGTTGTAAAGCGGGCACACCCATTCACAAAAATGATTGACTGAAACTATCAGGCGGCCCGATTATATGATGCACTGTTTCCATTTAGCAATAATTCCTGGGCTGCACACACTCATTCACAACATAATTATCCTTGTCTCCAGCCCTTCTGCTTTTCATCTAAGCTTGCTATTGTCTTTTCTGTGGCTTCTTAGGAGTTTCTCTGATGGGACTCTAATCTAGTAACAATCTCCAATGGAATTCAGCCATAATGGCTAGGTAACCAAAAGGATAAGATTATTATTAAGGTGAGTTTTTCAATCATTATTGATGATTTGTGGTATTTTTTTTCTCTGTTTGTATGGACAGTTTAGTTTTGGCTCAAGATCTGAATGGAAGAAGAAATTTTTATTTTTTAAAATGAACTATTGTAGGTTAAAAGACACTTTACTGTGTGGTACCAGTGAATGTAAATTACAACTATTTAGATTAACCATAAAACCAAAACAGATGTTAGAATAACTTGTGGTTTCAGTTCTTCTTTGAACTGTAGATATTGCTGTAATCAACAGGAATTTCTGAATATTTCTGGAAACATAAAGATGATATGTATAGACAGAAGCTGCTTAGTTCTCAAAGGCTTACTCCTATACCAGGCTTACTAAACATCACCTCTAGACACAATTTTTAGTCTGGCTGCTTTAATGAGAAGCAAAACATGGCAAAGGACCACCAACCGACATTGACCTTTGATGACAATTACTGTGATTTATGTTCCAAAGCAATTATCTTTGTCCTGGTTTTATCAAGGAAAATAGAAATGCATTCAGGGGGAGTCAAGGCACCACAAAAACATGTCATGGACTTTGCCTGGTGACTGTCAAAACAAACTCATTTTCAAATATCCGCAGTAGCTTGAAAGGCTTAACTTTGCCATTTTGTATCACTCTAACACATAAATGCAGCTTATATATTTTATGTGGCAACACAAAATTATAAACTCTCAAAATATATATTATACAAAGATTTCTAAAGTAATGACTTTTCATGGTACCTGAAGTTTCTAGGGCTAGATTGGAAAGTCCTAGTTAATTACTTTATAAGACACTTAGAAGAAGACATTATAAAGGATATGTTTGAATATTAAGTTTGAAAAATAACTCCTTCTTGAGATCCTCCACCATACTGTTCAATTGTTTGAGTCTTTCCAGTGAATATGGTGGATACTATTGAGCCATTAATCAAATGGACATTAATCTTAACTCTGTAGGCTCCCTTCCAGTTAGATGAGGTCATATGTTGAGTGCCAACCACTAGAATACAAGCAAAAGTGATTCCTGCCACTTGCCGTTTGGGTGCTGATAGTATTCTCCCTTACTACAAGGTGGGGATGCTGGTAATTCTAGATATCTTCTTCCAGCTGCTGGATGGGGACTGACACCCAGAGAGACTTCAAGCCCCTTCTCTAAGGTAACAAAAATAACAACGGCCTGAGTTTCATAACTACAAGTTTGAGGAAAAACACCCATCAACTAGGAGCAGCTGTTCTTTACTTAATGGGAGCAAGAAGTAAATATATGTTAGGCCAAGCCTCTGAGATTTTGCAGGGGTGGGTAGCAATATAGTGAAATATGAAGGAAATAGGGGCGACTGACAGAGTCTTTTAGGTTTAAATTTTACATGACCAGAATTCTCCTTTCTTTAGAAAATAATGTTGATAACAATGATCATCATTTCTAGGAAGACAAGGCTGAGTTTTCAGCTACAATAGAGTATGCCCCCTAGCCAGGACTGCTGTCCTGAGATTTAAAAGGGCTATAAATTGAACCTAGAATGTTCTCATTTAAAGACAAGAATGTGGCCAGAGGAAGAAAATGTCCTGAGGAAAGCATCTATGGAAATAAATCAAATTTTACTGGCTGCCTCTAAAATATTCTGGTTTAGGTTAAACAGCCAGCTCTAATCATTGGAAATCACATCACTGGCTCCTGCATCTACACACACACACACACACACACACACACACACACACACACACATTTTTGTCTCTTATCAAAATTGTCCAATCAGTAAAATTGCTCTTTTTGGGAACAAAACATTGTAAATAGAACACTCTTCTATGTAAAAGTGAATTTACTGAAATTCCACATCAGATAGGTGGAGCGCTTGTAACTCTGGATTTTAGTTCTGACAGAGTGCGAAAATAAGTGCAGATGACAATCCAGTCAAACAGAAAAGTAGAAAATGAAAGTCTCGGTCCTGGGATTATAACAGAGATGAGGTGTGTGTGTGTGTGTGTGTGTGTGTGTGTGTGTGTGTGTGATCATTTTCATCTTTAAGTCCATTGACTTGCCAGAAATGAACAAAAGTACCAAAATGTAGTGATTTTTTAAAAAAAAATACAGGAAGAACCATTATTTTTTTCTTCAGAGAATCCTAAGATTTAGTCCCAACTCATTCACTTACCAGTTGTGTTGGGCCTATTATTAGCAGATAAATAGTTATTTTGTATAACACTGTATATTGATTTGAACCCCAGTTTCCTCATCTGGAAAAAGGGGCTAACAGCTCTGTAGAAACTGGAGGCTAAATGATGTACATTTGCAGATACCGTAGCTTCAGATACAGAAGGCACTTCACAAGTGTTAGAGCAGAGACAGACTTGAAAACAGGTAACACTCTGTCTCAGAAATATACCCGGTCTCTTTAACTTACTAACTGCATGCATAATTTAGTTTTTTAATTATTGTGGGCCTTTTATTCACCAAGATAACCTCTAGATAAGGGTTCTGGGAAAACCACTGTGAGGCAACTTGATCAATGACTCTTGGAGCATCAGAAACAGCAGCGGGGGTGGGGGGGGGTGGGGGGGTGGTTAACTCAGTGGCATAAGCCATAAGCGCCTGCCTTGCAAGCAGAGAGTTGTGAGTTCGATCCCTGGTACCGATGAAAAGGAAAAAGACCAAAAAAAAAAAAAAAAAAAAAGATTTATAGAAACAGCAGCAGGGAGAAGGTGAAGCAGAAGATGATGGAAGACACACAAAGGCCAGGAGCAGTAGTAGACTGGAGGCGAATGGAGAAAGGGCCAGTCCCGCTGCCGTCAGGAATTCTCTGCAACCTTGTACCTGACTCTCTAGGAGAGAGGAAGGAGGCAACTTGCCAGTTTCTGATAATGAGCATCATAAGTCTGTTTCTTCTTCTTTTCCTTTTTTTCTTCCTTCCTTTTCCTCCCATTCCTTCCCTCCTTTCTCCTCCTTCTTTTCTTCTTCCTAAGCGTCTTTTTCCCCCATTCTCCATCTGATGAATGGGCTCTTTGGGCTTACTGTAACTCAAAAATGCCTCCTGCTGCAATAAGCAAAAACCCAAGACATTGGACTTAAAAGAATGTGGTCTGTGTCCCAGCTCTGCCCCTCCACAATGAAACATTTAGCCTCTCTGGTCTCAATTTCCTTGCTTTATAGAACAGGTCAGGACCTGCTAACCCCAAATGAAAGAATGTGACAATTTATTGATATGGCAGATATGAAAACTTTATTTGTAGTCTTATAATTTCTAAAAGGAGTGGGGGAAAAGGCTGAAAACTGTACATTTCTTCACTGATGGGAGCATATATATGTATAGGCATTTGGAAATTTTTCTTTGCTTTAAAAGTTTATGCCTTTTGATCATTTCTGCGAATCATTCTAGACAGGCCTCAACGTGCAAAATCCTTAGGAACAAAAATGGCCACTTAGTTCTTATTTATAATGCAAAATATTTTAACTTGAAATTGATAATAGGCTCTATATTTTATGGCACAGCCACTTCACCTTGATGAATAATGCATTTTAAAGAAAATGTAATAACATGAAAAAGAGCCATGCTGGGCCTGGGAGGAGGAACAAGAAGCCAAATCACCTTTCTCCTGAGCTAACCAGCAGGCAGGCTGGGAGACAAGAACACCCCTACCTCCTTTAAGCAACTGTCTGATTCGGAGAACAGGTTGAGTTGATAGCAACTGAGATACAAAAACTTAATGCTTGTGTTGTTTGATTGACTTTGCAGACCAAAGGCTAAGCATCTGTTAAGAAGATAACAATATACAATATAGCAACTATGGGGGAAATCCTTCTGTCTTGTTTTTGAAATCCAACGCTGTTCTTATTGTTTCATTTTATTCCATTTCATTGTTTTGTTTTATTCAATCTTCTGTTTTGATTAATTTTATTCTGTTCTATTTTGTTTGATTTTATTATGCTTGATGGTATGAGAAGCTATTTTGAAGTTAACAAGAGATTAATTTCCTTTTATCCTGCTTTGAAATTCTGCATCACTTTCACTGTTTTGATTGACTTTATTCTGTTTTATTTTATTTGGTTTTATTCTCTGTTCACTTTCATTCTTTTGTTTTGATAGGTTTTATTCTGTTTTGTTTTGTTTGATTTTTATTATGTCTGATGGTATAGACAGCTATTTTGAAGAAAACAAGAGACCTTATGATAGCCGTTATGTATTTTCTGTTATCTTGTTTTGAAGTCCTTTCTCTCACTTTCATTGTTCTGTTCTCAGTAACATTATTCTGTTTTGTTTGGTTTGGTTTTATTCTTTTTAAAATAGAAAAATAATAAATAAGAACATGAGAAAATATTATCATAAAGTTAAATGAAAAATGCAGGATACAAAGTTATATCATTTACAACTATTTTAAAATATATTCATTAAAAAGATTTAAAGAAAAGAAAAGGGTTCATAGTCTATTTGTTTAAGTGTGGGGCTAAGAAGTGTGTTTTTTTAAATCATTGTTCTTTTTTATATTACCCTAACTTTAAATAATGAGCATGTATTGCTTTTATAATTAAAATATGTGACATAAAATAAACTGTACAGAAATCCAATTTTCTTGGCAGTATTATATGAACAATTTTCTTATGAAGTAAAAAATCTTAATATGAAATATGATACAATAATTATTTTCAAGAAGTAGGGTAATATGGTATTGTTAGTTTTGTGGAATTCTTTTACAATTTAATAAAATGAAAGTTAGTGAGGTACCACAGTAAATGTGGACATTAACTGAACTGAGTCTGTTAAAACGTAATGAATTCTGAGCATCCAGCAGTAATGTTAATAAAACTGCATTAATCTCCAGGAGCCTGTGTGGCCAAATAATCAAAGTTTCATTACATTTAGTTTGTAAAACTTCACCTTGTTAGGGTGGAAACAATTGTACATGATATTTACTTTCCAAATGGTTTTGAAGAGTTAGTTCACCTTTATTGGGACCTATTGTAACCTCTGACACCTTTCAAGTCATTGGTGTAAAATATATTTTGAGAAAGTAAGAGAATGGCAAAATAAATGCAATCATTTTCCTACGATAAGAAATATTGTTACCTTGACATCCCCAAACATTGCTGGTAGATTGTGTGTTTTTGTTCCTAAATCCAAGTGATAGAGGATGTCTTCATCCATAGTCTCCAAGTAAGGATTTTTAACATGAACAAACCTTTTCCTGGGAAACAAAAAACAACACACACACACACACACACACATCATGAAAAGGATGCAAAGGAATTTGGAGAAGAAGCACAAAAAAGAGACTGGTCAAATACTTGACACAAGGTTTCTTTTATATTTAAATATAGTATAATAGTGACAGGAATAATGTCTGATATTTGCCCTATTATGTGTCAGGCATAGAACTAGGCATGAAAATGGTACAGTGTATGAAACTGCATGTTATAAATATATTATTATCTCATTTACTCTCATAACCTCTGTATTACATAAGTAACATTAACAATCTGATTTACAAATGAAGAAGTTGAGGCTTACGTAAGTTGAAAAGCCTGTGTATATGCTGATTACATCACAAAAGCTCAGTTTCAGGTCATTTTGCTCCCTTTGTCTTTCTCTGCCTGGAAGACTGCTGTCTACACCCTCCTGAGCTATGGAGTCACTTTGTATGGGTTCCAATACAGTTCAACCATATAGATACTAATTATGCAACCCTGCATAAGTTATCTTTGTTCTTTCATTTCCAGTCTGTGTAGTGGGTTTAATAAAAACTACTCCTTTGCAAGTTTATTATCCTGAGCTCTAAATTAGATATTTGTAACATACCTGATATACTTGAATATTGAGTAATCAGATCTTAATACGATTTCCAACACGGTGATTCAAAAAAAAAAAAAAATACTATTTTTAGTGAGACTGAGCAGAAAGAGAGTATGGCAAAGAATGCTAAAATTCTTTCATTTGGGCTTGTGTTAAATCCAATTGTTTTTCCTCCTGGACACATTGCAAAAACATATTCCCATTTCCTTTTCAGTGAGATGAAGTCATGTGATTGAGTTCCGGCCAGGGAATGTGGGCGGAAGTGATTTGCCTATTTCCAGGCATGACTCTGGTGAAAGTAGTGAGTCTCTCACCAGCCTTGGGGAGGTAACACAGTCCTCTTTATCCATCAACTATTTTGCATTGAGCACAAGACCCTGATCTTTCAAACAGCATTAGCCTGCCTGACCAATGAGCAGTTATTAGTTTTGGTCAGCACACTTGGACATGTTTTTTTCTTTTAGAAGACGGATAATGAGGTGAAAGAGAAGAGATGAATAGGGTCTTGGAGAGTCTTTGGGTATAATGGGGCAAAAATGAATTAATAGGCAAATAGTTCTGGAGAAACAAAGATTTAGAACTAAGAAAAGAAATGCTCAAAGTGCAACACAAAACAGAATAATATTAAATACCAGAAAATGCAGAGCAGGGTACAAAAGAGCCAATGGTAAGACACACTTGCTGAAAAGAAGAGACCATCACTGGAAAGCCCTACATCTATTCTTGGTGCCAGCTCGAATTCGTTGCAGTGTGGCTCGGTGGCTGCCTGTTCACACCTCCCAGCCTCAGTCTGTGGTTGTGGGTCCCCTGGCCTCTCCCTAAGGCATGTATTGCATCTCTCCCAGGCTGACACTCCCATAACAGTGCTTCCCTGTGTCCTGCTTGGGAGGCATTTCTTTACCTCTCTGCATACTTCTTTTGCCTACTTCTCAGATATCCATGGAGTTTTGTACATATCTATGCCTCAGTGTATTTAGGTATGTAATCTATGGATCCTGTGGTCTCTTTCAGCTCTACAGAACGTACTTCTTAAAGTTTATCATGTCTAAGAATCAACAGAACAACTCCTCTTTCAGAAATCCTGACTCAGCAGGCTGGGTGTATATGGGCCATTTCTAACAACTCCTCACTGTGTTTATGTTGCTGAGATATACTCTGAGTAGCACTGCCTTCGAAAACTACACCAACCATGAAAATTCATTACTTCCTTTCCACCTAAGGCCACCAGCCCAGAACCCCATCATGACACTGCTACCTTGACTGCCTGTTATAGATTAAAAACTGGTGGTCAACTTAATGGCAGCTGAAGTAAATCAGCACGGTGCTGAGTGTAGATGGCCCACCTGAGGAAAGTTGCCAGCATAAATAGAGACATGGAGAAGAGACAGGTGTTATGGGTTCTCTAAGTGTTGCTGTTGAGCCATTGGTTCTCCTGGAGGAGCTCATCATGATTAGCTTCCCCAGTGTGAGTTTGAGCATTGTCATTGCAGGAACTCAGGACCTTGTTGGTGAGAGTGGCTGTGGTTCACTTTGGGGGAGCTCTGGTCCTTACATCGAGCGTCACTTCCTGGCTCTGAGAGGAAGACGTGTGCCGCTTAATCTCCAGGAGCAACTTGTCATGCTGGCTTCCTGGCATGTACTCAACTGTTCTTATTTATCATCAGAGGAACTCAGGACCTCTGTGTCACTGAGGATGGTTGTGGTACTTTTTAGGGCAGCCTTGTTCCTTATTTTGAGCATGACTTCTTGGCTCCAGTGTATATACCTCAGCCTATTGGCACAGCTCCTTCATCCCACTGGCATAAACTTTCTAGCTTCCACCACTGAACTTTGGGCTTTCCAGCAGATCCATGAAACAGACTGGTGTGAGTCCTTGTTGTGGGTGCTAGGCCTCCAGTCGGATTTGTGAGAAACATTGTCATGGGCTCTGGGTCTTCACCTGGATGCATGCAGAACATTGCTGTGGGATCCAGGTCCTTGGCTGAATATTCTGTATCTTTAGTGTTATGGACAGATTTCCTGTACTTTCTTGTGTTTAACTCTGAGAGACCACCATAAAATAATATAAATTCTGTGTCCTGATTGCAATTGTTTTCCTCACAACCCCTAACTGCAACACCACCTCCTCTCTTGTTTGGTAAAATCTATCCAATGAAGAGAGTGGCTAGTGCTATGGAACAGGTCTTAATTCAGTCTAATTCATATAACTAAAGCACTTTCTCCACAATCTTTGGTTATATCAGTACTAATTATATACTACTCTAGTTACTAGTAGAAATAAGGTATAATCTCCATACCACAATAGGTCTGCGTTTCTCTTCCAAGGATCATCTGGGACTTCCTTGTTTTTTGTTCCCATCCTTGAAATATTTTAAAACATCTTAACAAGTCTTGTGACTTCAGTAACTCTCACCTTGACTATGCATGCAAATCACTAAGACTTTTTAATAGTACTGGTGACCAGAAGTGAATTAATTTAGATTATCTAAAGATGTTTTTAAAGTCTTTCTAGATCACTTGGAGTGCAGCCAAAGTTGAGAACGCCTGCTTTAAACCTTTCTTCCTGAAATACCCTTCCCCCTTCCTTTTATACTTTACCTGTCATAATTCTACTCATTCATTCTTCAAAGTCAGATTCAAATATCCCCTGTACCATGAAGGCTTTTCCAGGCATCTTCCCTCGCCAGTCAATATTATATTTTAGTTTCACTCTGTTCCTAAAGCATGTGTCTCATGTTAATGCCGTTAGTGTTGCACATTGTCATACAGTTAATTTTCTCTCCATGGAAAGACTGAAATTTCTTTGCTGCAAGCTGTCTTATGTATCTTTCTTTAATCCCTAAATCTTAAATCCTATTTAATGTAAATTTAGGTGTTCAGTAACTGCAACAAAATGCTATTACTTGCTTTCTCAAAAAATTAGAAGTTCTTTATATGAAAACTCAATAAAAATTGGGTATCTGAGATGAATATGCCCTTCTCAGATGAAGGAATACAAATGACAAATAAATATATGAAAAACTGTTCAACATCAGTGGTCATTCAGAAAAGCAAGTTAAAATAACACTGAGATTCCATCTCACTCCAGAAAGAATGGCTATCATTAAGAAATCAGTCAATAACAAAGGCTCGCAGAGATGTAGGGGAAAAGGAACTCTTCTCCACTGTTAGTAAGGGTGTACACTGATAATAACCACTGTGGAAATCAGTGTGGAGATTCACCAAAACACTAGGATTGGCGGTCCCATTCAGTTCAGTTATTTCCCTTCTGGATATTTTCACAGAAGAACTGAAAACATTATATCACATCAATATACGTGCACCTCTATTCATAGAAGCACAATTTGTAAAAGCTAAATATTAGACACAACCCAAATGACCATCAGCCAAGGAATGGTTAAAAAGGTGTGGTATTTTTATACAGTAGAATACTACTCAGCTATAAAGAAGGACAAATATGAGGCTTTTATAGGTAAATGGATGCAAAAATAGGAGACCATACTCACAAGTGAAATAAATCAGAGTTGCACGTGTAAACATCATATTGTCTTCCTAGTGTAAAAACTGAAAAAGTAAATAAGATCCAAAATGTAATATACCTATTGTGAAAATGAAAGTAGAAGAAACTGCTCAAAGGGAAAGAACAAGTGGGATGGGGGAAAGGAAAAAAGAAAAAAGGAAAAAGATACACACACATATAAGATAGATAATTATATTACTAATCTCTGTTAGTTCATCGAAAAGAACACTTTGTGCTTTCAGTTTGATCATTTTTTCATACTTATGTCTTCTAATATGAGCAACTACTTTAAAGATAACAATATACAATATATTAATCATTATTTTTATTTTATTTAAAGAGGGTAAAACTAAACATAACAAAACAGAATAAAGTATATCAGAAGAAAACAATGTAAGTGACACAGATTTCAGAGCAAGACAACAGGAGATCTACAGTGGCTACCACAATGTCTCTTGTTTTCTTCTAAATAGTTGTCTATATCTTCACACAATAAATTCACACAAAACAAAATAGTATTAAACTGATCAGAACAGAGTGATAAAGGCATTATAGGCTTTCAAAACCAGACAATAGGAAAATCAGCAATAGCTATCTTAATGTCTTTGCTCTCTTCAAAATAGCTGTCCATGCCTTCATGTATGTTGAAAATAAGTAATGCAAAACAGACTAAAACCACTCTGAACAAAGAATAAAAGCATTACTGGATTTCGCAGCATGATGATACGAAATCAGCAATGGATACCATAATGTCCCTTTTTTTTCCACAGTAGCTGTTTATTTCATCACACATATATTAATCATTGTTAACCTGCTATTATTTTGTTTTGAAGTTCTATATCATCTTTTTTTTTAATTTTAAAATTAAAAAACATTAGAAGTACCATTCTTAGTGAGTCATATTTTTTTAAAAAAAATAAAGTATGCCCTGGTGCGGTTACATTTTACTATTTCAGAACAGGCATCTAAATCTCAAAGCAGGTCATGAACCCTTCTGTTCTCCCCTGTGATGCAAAGTGTGATCACACATGCAGTAGATGACACAGTTTAAGGAGCTAGTAAGAAATGCAAAACCTCAGACTGCACCCTAGACCTACTGAATCAAAATCTGCATTTTAACAAACTCTAGTAATTCTAGTAAATTCTGAAAAACATTACTTTTCACTTTCTGTTCTGAATTCAATTATACTTTCTATTTCCCTCTCCCAAAACTATTTTCATAATCTAGAGATTTTCCTTTGGATTCCCATCTGAATCCACAAATCATTGCCCTATAAAAGAGTCTCCTTCATGTACTCTAGTAATTCTAAACACTAGTTACACATCACAATCACCAGAGGTACTCCAAAGAGGATTGATAGCTAAGGCCCGTCTCTAGTTTCTGATTCAGTTGGTCAAAGAGACTAAGACATTGGTGTTTTTAAAAAGTTACTGACTTGTACAACTTTTCCTAATATTCAAGTAGAAAATTTCAAACCATAGCAGTAATTAATGATACTCTGCTGTATTAATCATAATACTCCCATTTAATGGAAATATTCTTTAGATTTGCTTGGTACAAATCACTTGATATCTAGTGATTCCTCCTTGAATATATTTAGAGAGAAGTCTATAGACAATTACTGTCCCATTAGCTCCTGAGAAAGCACTTGTAAGATGATCACTCTGTCACTGACCAAGAAAGAAAGAAAAATAGGCTTGTTGGCTAATTAGAGTCTTTTTCTGGTTCCATATGAACTTTGGAAATGTTTATTCTGTTTCTGTGAAAAAATGATTCTGGGATTTTGGTAGGAATTACATTTAATTTGTAGATTGTTTTGACTAGTATAGATTTTACAATAATATGAATTCTTCCAAACCTTGAGATAGGATCTATTTCTATGCACTGTACTTGTGTCTTCTTTAATTTCCTTTTTCAATATTTTATAGTTTTCAGTGTTTATATTTTTCACCTCTTTGGCTAAATTGGTTCCTAAGCGTTGTATGCTTTTTGGTGGTATTGTAAATAGGATTGTTTTCTTCATTTTTTCATATAGTTTGTTAATATACAGAAACACTAGTGATTTCTGCTTGTTCACTTTTGTAACCATTAACTTTACTGAATTTGTTTACCAACTCTGATGTTTTTGGTGAAATCTTTTTAAAAAACAAATCCGAAAGCTTCATAAAACTTAATTTCAAAATTTATTTTGAGATACAATTTGATTATAATCCCCCCTTGAATATATTTAGAGAGAAATCTACAGACAATTATTGTTCCATTGGCACATGAGAAAGCAATTTATTATAATCAATAACAAATTAGTGAGAGTCTACCTCAAAATAAAAAAGTTAAAAGGACTGAGCAGGTACAAAACACTGGGTTCAATCCCCAGCACCACCAAAAGAAAAAAAGGGTAAAAAAGCGAAACAAAACGGGATGAACTTCAGGGGCAGAACATTTGCTGAATCCTCAATGCCTGGGTTCAATTCCTAGTACTAGGGAGAGAAATAAAGGGCAATGATAGCAAACTTTGGTGAGGATTTAGACACAAGGAATGTTTGTATACTGTTAGTGCAAATATAAAATAGTTCAACCACTAAGGAAAATAGAAGGGAGGCTCCTGGAAAACTAAAATTAGAAAAACCATAAGATGCAGAAATCCTGCTTCCCAATATACATCCAAAAGAATTGAAATCAGTGTATCAGAGAGAGACACAAGGCCCCACATTGATTTCAACATTGCTCAGCATAGCAAAGTTATGAAATCAATCTAAGTGTCCTTCAGTAGATGAATGGATAAAGAAAATACTGTATATATGCAAAACAGAATACTGTTCAGCCTCAAAAAATAAGAAAATTAAGTCACTGGTCACAACACAAATGGAGCTAGAGGACATCGTTAAGTGAAATAATCCAGACATAGAAAGACAAATAACATAAAATTTTTTTCCCTTTTTTATTTTAAAGAGAAAAAAAGATAAAAATAACAATAAAATAGAGTTTTGAAAAAGATGAGAGTTATAATAATTAATTCATTACATATTGTCTTCGTAATGGTTCTTCAGAGTACAAGACATAGGTATGATATCTTGTCCAAATAATATTAGCACAAATCTTTCTTTTCAATGAACAAAGAGAAACTAGCTATATAACTATCTTAACTACATAAGGTTTCTCTTGTATGTGCAATCAGAAAAAGTTATCTCACAGAAGCAGAGAGGCAAATGGGGTATACTAGAAGCTGAAGAGGAAGGAAAAGATGGGGAAAAGGAAGATATTGCTCAAATGGAACAAAATGTCTGTTAGGTTGAGAAATTAGTTTTAGTGGTCTACTGTACTGTATGGTAACCACTGTTAATAGTAATGTGTACTTCAAAATTGCCTTAAGGATAGATTTTTAGTGTTCTCACTAAAAAAGAGAAGTTGAGGAAATGATGGATGTTTTCATTTGCTTGACTGAATTTTTCTGCATTATATTTAGATCAAAACCTCATGTGATACCTAATACATACTATCATTATTTATTAAAACTGAACAAAAATTTAAATTAAAAGGCTGTTGGGAATTCATACTTAAGTCAGCCTTCTATGGCTATTGCAATACTTTGACTTTTCTAAAACATAATTTTTACTAAACTTTCATATGTCACAGAGACATGTTCATAGCAGCACAATTTATAATAGCTAAATCTTGGAAACAACCAAAATGAGTATCACTCGCAGAATGGATGAAAAAGATGTGGTATTTTTATACAATGGAATATTACTCAGCTATATAAAGGATGATCTTGAGGCTTTTACATGTAAATGGAGGCAGTTTGAGATTATACTCATAGGTGAAATAACTCAGACTCACATTTGTAAATATCATATTCTCTCTAGTTTAAAAAATAAATAATAATAATAATAAACTGAAAGAGTAATAGAATCCAAAATGTACAATAGATATTGTAATAATGAATGGGAAAGAAAGTGTTCAAAAGGAAAGAACAATTTGTAGGTATACACATATAACTGTATGTATCTTTAAGTGTGCAAGATAGACAAACATACTATTAATGCTCTATTAGTTCATCAAACAGAATAGTTTGTGCTGTCATTGCTTGATTGTTCAGCTTTTATGGTTTTATTTTGTAACTTGAGCAACTACTTCTCAGATAACAATGTGTAATATATTAACTAGTGTTGATTTTTTTTGAAATCCTGCAATATCTCTACCCTTTTGTCTGTTCTGCTTTTTAAAAATAAAAAAAAAATTTAAAAACTTGCATATACTATTTCATCCCCAAACTTTCTTGGCATATTTTTTCTTTTCCTAATACATGGGATAAGGTCTTTTAGCAAACCACAAGTTACACCTCATAGTCAGCATTAAATATTGGTCACCAAAAATGAGTGCTGGCTGGGAAGAAATTGTTTCATTTTTCCATTACTTTCACCTTCATAATTTTTCTTTTTATCTCTCTCCTTGACTTTCCCAAAGAAATGATGGGCTGGAGGAGCTCTGTGTTGTGTGGGTAAGCAGAATACTTTCTGAAATGCGGACATGATGGTGAGACATTTCACACAACGCTCAGCAAAGCACAGGGAACTTGCAAAAACTTCCTTCAGGTTCATGAAGATTAATGCTCTATTATGTTCTGTTAACCTGGGGCAGAAATTGGAAGTAAATTTGCAGGCTGTTTGGACAGATTTATGTCTACCCCTGAAATGAATAACATCCATAATATTTTAGGAGTGAATTCAGTGCAAAGTCCACCACAAAGCATATGAAGTGACTTCATAATATGCTGCAGCACAGTGAAATCTCTCATAAACCCTGGGAGGTCCTGTAATTACTTCTCAGATATGGCCCATCACCCTTGAATTAAAGGCTAAACTTCATAGTGAATTCAAGGCCCAACTGCAAATTTGTGTATCCCTATGTGTTGGTCAAATTTCTCCATATTTTTGTGTCTTCTTTCGCCCCACTTTCTTAAATGAACCTGCTCTCTCCTCTGCCCCTCACAAAGGAGAATCAAGAAATGATTAATGTTACTGGGAAGAAAATTTGCGTGGTTTCTATTCTGATCTGTATTGTAAGCTGTATTCCGTGTGCATTAGCCTAAACTGAAGAAATTTATGCAATGGTAGAGGAGCATCACCTGACATTTACTATAAAATGCAAACAACATCCAATCAAAAGAATAGAAATTAAAATTACTCACCCACCATATGTATTCTTATCAGGTCTCATGGATATATTAGAAGCAGGTAAAATAGAAGCCATGCTTCTATTATGTGAATATCAGTAAAGAAATATACTGAAATTTGCTATTCAATTATAGATTTAAATATAATAATTCAGATTTTAGAATGGCACCTTCACTAAGAGGTGTTACGTTTTCTTCTCAAATTGCTAATGGATCTGTTCACTTAGAATTTTAAAACCTTTCTGTCAATTCAAAAACAGCTCCTGATATGGCCTTTTATACCTCAGCCAGTCTTTCAGATCACCATGTTCCCAAGAAGATAAGCTCCTTTGGAAGGGGTGGCATCCTGTATCTTTGACCAGGTTGGTTCACTTGTTAACGGATGACCACAGCACCTTTCCCTGACGTGTGACATTTGTCCCAACATGCGTCTTATGAGGTATGTAGACTTATTTGCTTTGAGACAACTGTGTATGGATGCAGGTCCTCTCTTGATTCATGTGCCAATTCTACCAGGTTATCTCAAAAATGTGTTCAATACATGTGAGAACTTTCAGTTCCCAAACACTTCATTTTTCTATTCCTATCCCATCTCTCACCAACTTGTTTTCTTCTTAGTGATTACAAGTAAGGAAAGCAGCCAAAGTCAGAATGCCCTTTCATCCAAACTTTGCCCACTGACGTTCACACAGAAGGTCTAGTAATTTAACAAACTTATTTCCCAGGGCCTCCTCATTTAGTTAAACTCTATGTAGCCTTTTAAATCCGCTAAACCATCTGCCTTGGTGTCATTCCAAGTAGAACGATGAATTATAGCCAACATATTTGCAAATGTCTTTTTAAAAAAAAAAATCTATGAATTTGCTACTCCTGCTGATGCTCCTCACCTTTTGCTTTGGGAGGAAAATGATCTGGAAGACTTCAGGGAATCTTTATCCTGATCCATTATTTTCTGACTCCTATGAAAATCAGCAGTAGTTCTATGCTGGTGAGAGTTTCCAGAACATTAGTCTCATGGCTTCCAAGCAAATTAAAACCTAAAATGTTTATAAATGCCAAATAGAAACAAATGTAAGACATCTCACTGTGTTCACTGATTTTTCTTTAAGGATGCTCATAGCAGTCGGAACCAAATGTTCCAGCCTTAACTGGGGTCTCCAGTATAAGCTTCTCCACTTCCTGGTGATAGTGATTATTGGAAAACTCCAGACCCCTTTTGGTCCATCTTGACAGCCAGTAAAGTTTTCAGAATGGAAAGGAAAGAGAATAAGGATATCTACGTCAGGAAGTCCTGGAACCCTAAATCTTGTTATTACTGCTTTTAGAAGGAGACATTCACACTTCTGTCCGTTACCACACAATCCCTGAGGAAACTTATTTTGGAAAAGGTAATGATGCTTATGAGGCAAAGTCATCCAGAATATGTGTATTGCCTTTTTAACTTGGGACAGTGATTCCTGTTTGTTCTTTGTAAATATGTCTCTGACCTTGTGACTCACCTCAAGATGCGCTACCTGTTGCTTTTTCTGAACAATCACTGGCAATTTTCTCAACATATCCACCAAGTGCCAAGGGAACCTGCACACTTTTATTTGGTATTCCATGTCCTGTCTCTCCATTTATCTTGAGGATATAGTAAGGAGGATCACCAAATTCCAGTCTGGCATTTACCACTGCCCCGGGAGGTGGAAATGTTAATTAGATAAGTGTTAGGTAATTAATTACTCCTGTGAATTAATTAGAATAACTTATCTGTTTCCAGTTCAGGTTCTGCCAGTCAATGACCTTGGCCCTGAGAGAATGCCAGAGAATACCAGGTAAATCATACAGCCTCTGTAACCAACTCCCCCAGACATTAAGACGAATGGTCATCATTTGAGTGAAATTCAGAATAGTCTTATGGGTTTATAAAAATAGAGTATTAATTAATGTCTTCTGAGCAATCTATTCTTTCCAGTTTTCAATCTTCTAAAGACTCTGACATTTTTGGCAGGCTGTTTCTTGACTTTTTTTAAAAATTATATTGTAAAAGTCCAGTCACCCTATCCAGTTGGGAAAAGATTTTGTTTTTAGAAAGAGTGCACAAGGCCAATTCAGGGTAAGCCACAGGGTGTTATGCAAAAAACGCTGTGGGCCAGCAGGGCCACATGATTCAACCCAGCCTTGTGGACAGGAGGCTCCTGCACCAGCCTGCCAGATCCGTGCTCTGCAGCATCTGGCCTTTGAGGACACACTTCACTTCCCCCTTCTTCCCTGCTGTGCCTCTCATTCCCGTGACAAGTTTCTCTAGCTTAATTCTGCTTCTGAACCCCTCCTGATGTTGGAGTCCTGTTGTGCAGCTAAATAGCATTAGGTTTTCCCATGGATTGGCAAATTTCTGTAGAGTCCCTTAGACATTAAGTGTGGAGTTAGAGCCATCCCCACCTCCAATGATGATCTCATCACTCTGGAGGAGCATGGCTGAGTCTGGAGTGCCCAGAAACTTCCTAGGCATCTGTGCGCCAGGGTCTGTGATAAATCCTGAAAGAGTTTGCAGTTTATTGTGTCTGCCTTAAAGGAATCTTCTCTCCAGTGGGGAAGAGTGATGAGAGATAAACGTGCCAGACACTATGTAAACTTAAGGAGAGACACCAAAGTCAGACTGGAGTCTAGGATGGCGTAATACCTAGGTTGGGTCCTGAAGAAAGATGCAACCCTGAAAACCACATCTGTGTATGAGGATGAGCTGAACATGAGTGACTTGTGCCCCAGAACAATGTGTAAGTGCAAAGAGGTAACGAAAAGAGTGCCACAGTTAGGGAAGTTTACCAGTTCTATGAGGTTTTTATTCTCAAGTATTTGCACCAGCATTTCTGAGATGGATCTTTGGTAGCTTTCAGTTTTTCAGATTTCTCTTATATTCAAAAAAATAAATAAGAGCCAAAATATAGTTTCACTAATTATAATTCACTTTAAATATTTACACTCCTTGAATGAAGATCTTAACTCTCTTACTAATTCAGTTTAACTGCCAGGCATGCTAGTGAACTCCTGTAATCTCAGCACTGGAGAAGCTAAACCAGGAGAATCACCATGAGTTCAAGGCCAGCCTGGACTACCTAGTGAACTCAAGTCCAGCTTGAACTATATAGTGAGATCCTGTCTCTAAAACAATAAAATAATAATAATAATAATAATAATTAGCTTAACTGTGCTATCCAAAATTCATTACTGGGTTTATTATTTAAAATTCTTTAATTCATCATACACTGTAAGTTTAATGGAACACAAATTTAAAAGTATGCTAATGTCTGTCCCTTCTTTCAGCCCAATCATCTATGGATGCATGTAGTGGAATTATGACCACATTGCCTCCAAACACCACCACATCCTCTCATTCGCAGTCCACTGGCCCAAGGGGTTAAGAACCTTTCCTTGAGGACATGCCATAGGTCTTTCTCTTCTCCTGAACCAATCCCTTTGGAACTGGGACACACACACACACACACACACACACATACACACACTCCAAGCTCAGTACCCTAGGAACTAGGGTGGGGAATGCACAATGATCTTTCATGTTAACCCCTTATTGATGGGTCTCTCAGAGTATGAATGGGGTTCTGCAACCTAACCCTTCCATTCTGGATTCCTCTTACTCCACTGTTTGCCACTATTGACTTGAAAGCACTGCACATGTGTCTTGAGCTAACTAGTCTGATATTATGCAAAGTATTTATTTTTTTCATTTTCATTTATTTACTCAATAAATATTAGCTGAATATAAATTGTATTCTAAAAAATGTAAGAAATGCTGGAAATAAATGTATAAATAAAACAGGCCCTGCTTCTCTGTTTTCTTTGGTGAAAATATTGACATTCCATGAATAGAGGGGGCACAACACACTCTCAGATTTTCTTTGTGTTGAAATATGTCTAGTAAGCGTGCCTTCAGCAATCTCTCCTTCATGTCAAATAATAAAGCCTTTTGGAGTCTTGAAGTATTCATTTTACAATACATATGTTGTAACTGCCTCTTATCCTTTACGGGAAAGGAGAACTATTTAAGAACAACACAATTCTGCCTGTGTGGTGGTATAATCTTAACTAGTCTGGAGATTGAGGCAAAAGAATCCCAAGTTTGATGCCAGCCTGGGCAACTTAGTGAGACACTATCTCAAAATACTCAGTACTCTGGGTACTCTCTGGATTCAATCACCAGTACCGTAAAAAAAGATATAAGAAACAAAATCCCTATTACTTCATTTATAGTACAGATGTGTTAGAGTTTAACATATGCAAAGAAAAGTCACCTTTTCTATTACCCAGCTAATCTTCTTCATGATGTTTGTCTTCCTTAGAGTTTGAGCAGTGGACGGTAACTTCAAACTTACAATTAGGTTAACCACACCCTTATATATTTGATCACAATGTCATTACACCATTTTCTGTCAAGTCTTTGTTGTGTCTATCTGATTCCCTCCTTCTGCCTATCTGCAATGGCAGCTACCAAACAGGGTGAGCAGAAAGGGGCTTTCTGGGTTTCTTTACCAAGAGGGAGAACAGCACCCGGGTCTCTGTGCTCAGTTCCTTGCACAGCCCTTTGGCTCTGCTATTAGAGGGTTGATCAGGCGTTGTTCCCTGTTTTGGGGAGGGATCTGTGGCTCTCTGGGTATAGTCACTGAGCTCATGAATAGGTTCTCCAAGTTACAGCAAAGCCCATCCAGGTGTAATAACGCACGATTCTGGTACTCTCCCACTGTGAGGAATGCAGGTGTGAGTTGATGATGGAGCCCTCTTGCAACCTCTCCTGAGTTACGTGGAAGGGTGTGGTCCCTGACTCCAGGGTTCCCAAGCTGAGCTACACCTTATTCAATTTGTGTAACAGCATTATGTGCCCTGGACTTCACCCTTAAAGGTGAATACTAACCAAAGGCCATGACTGCTAGTTCTGGTTCTTCTGTATACTCAGTTTCAAACTGGAAGGTGAGACCCTCTTTGTACTTTTCTCCTTGCCTTACATGAACTTCCTCTATATCAAATCCTGGATTTTCCCTGGCTTCTGGAAATCTATACTTTGTAGTTCACCAGACGTAGGTTTTGATGTGTTGATAAAAGCACAACCATTCCTTTACATTGCCTAAGAACTCAAAATTTATATTCAAAGAATCCCAATTAATTCCTTCCTCCAGTTCTATCCCCCAGCAGACAGATAGGAATGTGGACAGATAGGAACGTGCAAAAGGCCACATTCACAGACAGGAGCTTAGTAACAGGTTTCAAATGTACTAGACCCATCATAAATTACCACAAGCAATAAAGAATTACATCTCTCATACAACTGCTGTGACGAAGAAGTGTTTGACTTCTTCTTTTAGGAAAATCCCTTCAAATGCAGGGATTTTCTCTACTAGTCTCATCCAGCAGGGCCAAACAGAGTGTCAAGAGAAGGCTTTGCCGTGAGAAAGTTCCTGGAAGAGTGGATCTGGTGGGGGCTGACTAATGCCGCGGGGAGGGGAGAATTCCTGCATCCTCTGCTCCTTCCAGAACCACAGCCTCCTGTTTTCAGTCTCGGGAATGTTATAGTCACTGTGGCCATGTACTAAAATTTTTATAATTGTGCTTGACATCCAGAACTGTAAAACACTAACATATTTTCTGGTACCTATAGAACACCAATATCTGGGATGTTTAAAAAGTGGAAATGTACCTTAGGAAAATAATCCTTACTTACAAAACTTTATTTTTTCCATAGTTAACATGTTTCAATATTTAAAGTAAATGCATAAAGTATTTATGAAGGAATTTCTTCTCAGACAATAGGTTAAAAAAGAGAAAGAAGTTTCAAACTGTGTGAACATTTATTAATAGGGATCATTTGGCTATCATTAACCATTCCAGAAAAGGTGTTTCCAGGTAAATGGAAACTTCAAATAAAAGTCACATATATATCGTTTAGAAAGTGATCACTAAGCAGCTGCTGTGTGCTAAGTATGCCAATGCTTGGAGTTGACTAATGATGGCAAAGTAGTCTCAGGCTTGTTCTTCTTGCAATACCCAAATTTTAAAAAATCTTAACTTTCACCTCTGACTTCTCTGATGATGTTAAAATGAAATTTACGCCCACAGCGTTACTGGGGTTTAAATGTACTTTTCCCTGTTAACTGATCACAATGCCTACACCAGAGTCTGCAAGGGTCCACAGACCACGGTGTGAAGTCAGCACTGCTCAGCAGTGACTCGAGTGGCCCAGTCCACAGAGAGGTTTATGGCTGAAAATGCTTGATTTCAGAATGTGCTTAGGTTCAAGTCTTACAGATTTTTCTGTTCTTGTTATCTAAGAAAATGTGAGGCACAGAGTGTCAGACAAAAAATTATAGAAAAGCTATTGTATTGGAAATAAAGCCTGATTAGTCTAAATCAATGCGGTACCAGCAAGGAATAAAAATTAAAAACTTTTTCTCTATGTTAAAAGAGAAAAATGGCCAACCTCAACTGAGACTAAAAATCTGAAGGATAAGGAAAAATAATTAAAAAGACAATGAAGAATTTAATTAACATCAGTGATGATTTCAAGCTTCAGACTAAGCAGTGCCCACATTGCTTCTCATTTAAACCTCATAACTCTGTGAGTGACTATTACGACTTCCCCAAATTTCTGATAAGGACATCAAAGCTACAAAAGTTAAACAAGGTGCCTGAGATCCTATAGATTAGAATTCAGAATCAGGTTTTCCCAGCTACAAAGCCCCAGAAATCCTCTACACTTAATCACTGCTGGTCAATGCGGATATGCTGAAGAGTCCAGAAATGTGGTGCTAAGTAGAGAAGGGAATTTGGTCTGGGTTTTGAAAGCTGATTTCAAAAACATCTCATTGCACAATTTTAAATTAATCTCCAAAATGTGCTTCATGCATAGCACATATTTACCTTATCTCAGGATCACCACTTCCTATGATTTCTCTCAAAAAGTGGGCCATATTCAACATGCTTCCCGCGGTAAGTTCTGTCTGCACTTGAGTGGCCCTTAAAATGTAAATTAAAAGGCACAGATAAACTAAGGAAAGTAGACAGAGCTTTAATTAAATCTTTCTTTTAAAAATTGTATTAAATGTGCCAAACGTTAACATTGTTAAATTTGTGTTGTATGTACACAAGCACTTATTACATCTGCACATTTCTTTATGTTTGAAATATAATTATAAATTTTAGATATAGTAACTAACAAAAATATGAAACACTAACAATTGTTGCAACAGAAAATAACATACAAAGTCAAGGTAAGGGTTTAAAGGACCATACTGGAGAAGTCCTGACATAACTAAAGTGGAGCATTAACCAAAATGTGTGTGTGACCCAGGTTGTATAACCAAGGTTTTCTACTTCTCTAGAATAACATTAATGTTTAACCAATGGATTGCACTTAGTGGTGCCAAAAGAATGCCATAAAACACACTGTTCTCTTTCACTGAATTTAAGTCTCATTTAGAAACGAGCAGTTTTGAAATTTAATGACTTTTTAGGCCCTGGAAATCACCATCTTACGAAGTATTTGCTGTATTTCTCCATCTGAGCTTCCTTGGGCAGCTGCAGGCATAAAGCTAGGAATGTGTTTGATGGGGGGTAGAAGTTAGTGATTAGAACCAAGCCTTCCTTAAATTTAAAGAAAATTCATCCCCTCTCCTTTCAGTGTGGGATTTGCAGCATTCACAGAGCTGCTTCCCAGCTGAGGGGTTGATTTTCTAGGGTACCTTGAAGCACAGTCAAGGGCACCTTAGCCTGGTGCTGAAAGGCAAACATGGCTTTGAGGGCCAAGGCTGAGTCCCTGGAATGTAAGCCACAGGTAGGTAGGGAGGCAGGCGATCAGGAGGCCAAGGAGAACACAACCCCTGCCTTCTATCGCAACTATCCAATGACCCCTGTGGTGGGACAGAACCTAAGATGGGCCCATTCTTAGGGGTAAAATCAAAGGTTTCATCTTTGTCTCACTGATTTTTAGTTCTTAGTGTATGCTGAGTACAAATTCTTCCTTATTTGTAGATATTGTCCTTTATTTACAAACTTCCAAGATCATTATGTTAAGAGTGTATCAAGTAAACAATATACATTTTAAAATCTTCTCATGCATTTAATACGTTTATAAGTAATCTGATTACCAGTATATTTTTACTAATTTTTTCTTATTTTAGCTTTCTATATAATATATACTATATATCAGTTTGTAAATAGAATATGGAGTGTCTTTCCCTTCATTACTATTTATGCTATATATTAGTATTCCTCATACAGTATACATTGCTATTTATGCTATATATTAGTGTACCTTGTATATATAATATTCAGTTTATTTTCATTTCTTTCTTACTTTCTATAGAATCATTAATTTATACAAAGATCCCATTTCCTTCTGTTGCTTTGTAGGTTTTATATTCTATTTCTTTTTTGTTTTAAAGAGGATAAAACCACAGAAAATAAAACAGAATAAAACCAATCAAAATAAACCAGTATAAGTGGTACAGGACTTCAAAACCTTAAAATCAGCAATAGTTACCATAATGCCTTTTGTTGTCTTCAAAAAAAATCTGCAGGTATCTTTGGACATAGTAAAAATCGAACAGAACAGAGTACAATAGAAACAATAAAAACAAAACAATGAATGCAATAAAGGACTTCAAAGCAAGCCAATAGTAAATCCAAAATGGCTGCCATAATATATCTTGCTATCTTTTTAAACAGCTGCTTGTGCCAAAAGATGTAACATAATCAAACAAAAGAGAATAAAACCCAACACAACAAAACAATGAAAATGATACGGTTTCTGGGTGGGGATCCTCCTTGTGA